CACACTGCTATTTGTCCCACTGCTCAACCCCCCCCCCCCCCCCCCCCCCCCCCCCCCCCCCCCCTACACAACAGCACTCTGTCCACTGTGAAAGCCTTCCGGTTCCTGGGATGCAGTCTCCCGGGACCTAAACTGGGCGGCCGACATAAACACAATTGTCAAAAGGGCCCAGCAGAGGATGCACTTCCTGTGCCAGCTCAGGAAGTTCAACCTGCCCCAGGAGCTGCTGATTCAGCTCTACTCCACAATAATCCAGTCTGTTCTCTGCAGCGTCCATCACTGACTGGTTTGGTTTGGCCAGCAAACAGGACAGGAACAGACTACAATGGATAATCAGGACTGCAGAAAAATCACTGCAAACCCATTAGGCCCAGGTCACAACCTGTTCACACTCCTCCCCCCTGGCAAGCGCTACAGAGCACTGTTCGCCAAAACAACCAAACACATGCACAGTTTCTTTCCACAGGCTGTCACTCTGATGGACACTTAAGTGTCAAGGACAATACTGTGCAATAATCTATCATCCGGCATCCAGTGTAACTCGTGTATATAGTAACCAGCATCTTTGCACAATGGGCAGTGGTGGCTTAATGGTTAGGGAAGCACACTTGTGCTCAAAATATTACAGGTTCAAATCCCCAACCACCAAGGAACCCATGAGGTATCCTGAGCAAGGTACCGCCCCCTAGCACTGCTCCCCGGGTGCTGAATTAGCTGCCCCCTGCTATGTCACATATGGGTTAAATGCAGAGGACACATTTTGTTGTTGTGCACTGTGTGCTGTGCTGTGTCAACAATGACAATTGATCACTAAATTCAAGTTCAATGATGGCCCTCTGGCTTAAGTATCTTCTGCACATACTGTACTTAATTGTTTGTTTTTTGAAGTCACATTTTTTGCTGTATTTCTGTGCTGCTTAATATTGAGAGCAACGAAAAACCGAAGACAAATTCCTTGTATGTGTAAACATACTTGGCCAATCAAGCTGAAGCTGATTCTGATATGTTTGAACGGATAAGCAAGGGGCTCAGTGGGCCTGGCCTCTGTGCCCGTGATTGGAAGGTTGCTGGTTTAAGCTTGGCCTCTGTGCCCGTGATTGGAAGGTTGCTGGTTTAAGCTTGGCCTCTGTGCACGTGATTGGAAGGTTGCTGGTTTAAGCCTGGCCTTGGCACGTCTGTGGCTTCTTCAGCAAGGCCATTAACACCCAGCTGCCTGGGTACCAAATCAGGTGACTGCCCTTTGCAGCCAAGCAAGATGGGGGAGGTATAAAGAGAACTTCCCCACAGGGAATAATTATCATTATATTATTTTATTGCTTTTCATGTAGAACCGAGTTGGGATTCAAACCCTGGATTCACCAAGCCACCGTGCTTTAGAATGCTTACATAATTTCACTTTCAGAATGTCTCTTAACATGACAGTGATGTTGATCTGTCCCATTATTCTTCAAAGGAAAGTGTCCCAAGCACGTCACAAAATAGACCGTTAGATAAATCAAAGAAATCAACAAAACTTCCGGTTCACTCAGTGTGTTTGCAGTCCGATGTGGCCCAGATTTAAATCAGACTACATTTGATCTGCTCAGTGTCCTTCCACAGCAACACTGGAACGAGAAGTTCTGCTTCACTAATGAAGTACAGATCCTGGCATTCTGCAAACTTCCAGTGGGAGTAAACTAAAGGGACATCGCTCTAGAAAACAGTTTGAAGATACCTACTTCTTTATTGCTGAGGGAATCTGATGTAACTTTTTAAATAGGCACGGAGTTTCTGTGCCTTGCAGGCAGGAGTGTTGTAAATGGATTGGAATCTTGGAATCATTCCGGAGGACTGGACCATGCCAGCAGTCTTGGGGCGCAGGGGCCTGGATTTCTTGCTGTGCCCGTGTGCAAACTTCGAGTGTAGCGTCATGCCTCAGCGTCGTAGCTTTATCCATGGCTCCATGCAGCAGAAGGCAGACACACGTGTGCGTGCACACGTTTAGACAAATGCATACATGCCAAGCCAAAAGCCAGCCTGCTGTTTTGAAAGTGGCTGGGGACATTTGGATTAAATGCTCACAGAAGCACAGACAGAATTCACAGGAGTATTTATATGTATAAAAAGTTTATTAAAGAAATTAATGACAAGTCAAAAATATTCATACAGAGACTTTTGTCCTCAAAAAGGTAGAAAGATCAGGAAAGACAAGTTTACCGCATACATACCGCAATACAACCACTGTGTACTGGCATATTAAGGCATAAAGTTATTTAAAAACAGAGGCTATGTATAACCACCTCTGAATTAAACCTATTAAAACAATTCTTTGTTAAAACTGGAATAATGAATCTACATCAGAATGTCAATGTGCATATTGACACCTCTTGCCATTATGCTCAATTCAGACTCACTAGCGTTCTAATCTGATTAGCAGTAACAGTTTGCTTGTTCTATCAACAGGTCTCTTAAAGGTTCTATTACGGAATTCCATGAAATTCCAGAACCTCACTGCCCCTGCAGTATTACATGCCAGCACTCCATTCTGGGGAAAAGCTTAATTTGTTCCCTTGTATTATTTTCCATTCTCCAATCAGATAATTACCTTAATGCGATTCTTGAACAGGCTGTTTTCTGATGTATAATAACACAATCAATATACATAATGTGTCTCTATATTTCTGGGAGTATAATGAAAATCAACCACACACATACAGTATATAAATCAAAGTCATACATTTTTTTTAAATATGCAGAATCAGCATTACTCACAGGCAGAAATAGAAAGATAGAACTGTCTGACAGGTTAAGTTTCCCCATTAAACAGAGCATAGAACTCTTTGGAAATCTCTCTTCCAGATATGAGAAGAGGCAACTCTGGGCAAGGTAACAGAGCGACAATGGATCTTGACATTACCCTGCAAACAGTAGGAGGGCGGAGGTGGATCGTGGGCGGATTCTAGTACATGATGACTGTTCTCATGTGTGATAGAAATTTCTCAAACTTGACCACCCACTCAGTCTCACCAAGGGCAAAAAAAAGAAAGAAAAACAAACATCCAAGGCACTCAGTTACATGCAATAATTAAGTAGCAATCCGGGAAAAAAAAGTCTCTATACCACTGTCAAGCATGTCAATGAGACCAACAAGACCGCATTACTGATGATTACTTACGAAACGGATACCAATCAACCTAAAAGCTTAAGCAATGGAGATGCAACACTCACACAGATCTCCACAGCCCACAGGTAATATTCCAGTGAAGCCAGCCTTTCTGACACTTAAAAGCTCCTGGCCCCCGCTTGTTATTTCCCAAAAACACATCTGCCGTCAGTGAGGCAAAGAAATACTCCATCTCCGTATTCAAACATGACACTCACGAGTGATGCGGCCAATCAGCTAGCAAGAAACACTTAACAAGCATAGTGTAATGTGATAAAGAACACTGGTACAGCTGCAATAATAACAATGACAATAATAACAAGAATTAAATATGTACATTTTGATAAAAAATATAGAAGAAAAAAGTGCATGATTGGGGCTCAATCAGTTAAAAAAAAACAACAAAAACAAACAAAATGATGCACAGAAAAGGCACATTATCACTCTAGGAAGAGAATACTTATAAATATAGCTTGCCAACCATGTTAATTCACAGGACAACCACACAACAGACGTCAAGAGAAATCCATGCTTACTGACCAAGGGTTCAACATTTTATCAATTCTCACACAGCCCCGCCATTTTAAAATCAGGTCGTAGTTCCACCCCCAACGCAGATGGTGGCGCTGCCTGACTGAAGCGGGGCTCTCATTCACTCCGCTCGCCAGAGGTTTCCTTGGTTCCCTGAAGCTCCTGTTACGCAAACAGAAAGGCACCACGGCCGTGATGCCTAAAATAAATGGAACTCGCGAATCTGTTTATAGGAGAAAGAGGAACCTTTCATAGATGTTCCATGAGGTATGGAGAATCCAGAGAGTCTGCTTCATACCTGACACGAATCCATTCACTTAAAAAAAAATTACCCATCATGCCCTTCTGCTGCAGAATGGCCTACCGGTCATGCTGCCTGTTCCTCCTGAGCTTCTGCGTGTTGGAAATAAAAATAACGAAACACCCCAATTTCCTCGCACATCGATACAAGCGACAGTCACATGACCACACTCAACAGCTACAAAGTGCAGCTGTACGACCCAGTCAATGGTACTCAATCACACCAATTCTTCTACAAAGTCAAACACTAAAAGCAACCCAGAAGTAAAACAAAAAAGTATCTTTACAAATAAGCAAAAGGCACAAATATGACTAAAATTATATAAAAAGGTCATATGAAATAACGCATAAAGTAATAAATCAATGGTCACACAGTGGAGACTTAGCAGTTCCACGAAAGGGTATAAAATGCACATCACACATATAAAGATGTGAGGAAAAAATTAAAAAGACAAAAGTGACCGTGAGGTCCGTGATCACAGGGCATAAACATGGGGAGACGGTGTTCGTCTATCAAGCTTGGCGTGGGGGGGTCGGCTTCCTATGCATTTTGTCCTATTAAACATTTTGCAGTTTCCAATGTGTGACATAGCATAAGATCACAAAGATGTGGGAGGCAGAGACTATCCTAGGAGGTACTGGTGTGCATATCATGGCGTATTTCTTAATTTCACCAAAATTAAAGTACAGTTATAACATCCAAACGTCTGCGATTACCTTTGTCACATATCTTCTTATTATTCTGCCAACTTTTTCCTCTTAAATATGTTAGCTGTGCTGCAATTACAGCAAATATTCTATCATTCTACATACAGTAAGACGATACCTTTAAAGGCCAGACGTGTGCTCCAGGTTAAAAAGCAGGAGATAAGGCTGCGTGAAGTTTATAAATCAATTTCCTTGTGTTTACTTTTACATTCTCTAAACTAACAGGAATGTTCCATCTACACCAAAAATAAGTCTGGGTTAAATATTCAGGAAAGTAAGAAATAAAAATTCACAAAGTGACATCAAGATGTGCCTTTGATACCAGACATGCCCACTGATTCAATTCCAAAACAACAAGTGATGTAATCGGGGCCATAATAAATGTTCTCTGTCTAAGTGAGTGGAATAAATTCTATGCCCTGTGATCAGGGGTGGAACCAAAGCGCTAAAAAAAATGCTACACTGTGATTGGCTCAGATTGTCTTCCCAGGGTCAGGGCGATTGGGGGAGAGGGACGGAAGGGTGGGGCGGTCTCTGTTCTGGGTCTCCCACATTCATGTGCGAGGGAACTTGTCGTTGTAGCGGTGGATGGTGACACAGCCGTGGTAAGAGATGGGACGCGGCATGGCAGCCACGCCCGTGATGATTCCTGTGGCGGGGTCATAACACTGCACTGTGTCCGAGGCCTCCCCGTTCTCCCCGCGACCTCCCAGGATGAAGATCTTTCCATTGCACACAGACATTCCGCAACTCTCCTACGGGAAAAGCAGAGTGTCAAACATAGTGATTGACAGCAGGGACAGCCAATCAACAGCAAGCTTCTGATTCACTGAGGTACCTCACACCATACCTGAGTCAGATCCATGGACATGCTGAAACTGGCATGAGACGATTTTTAATATGAAATTGGAGTACTGCAATTGCAGTTCCACTAATCATGCGGCAAAATAAAATTTACCTGTCAGCTATTTTTCATCTCTATCCTTTCAGTAACGTTAATTTTACAGTTACAGTTCTGGCATGAAAATATGATTCTTTACAGGCTCTTGGCAGGCAAGATACAGCTTGTGGCTAAAGAATATTCTGCCCTGGCGAGCGTGTTCCCGTCTTCCAGTCCATACCTGCTTGCTGAAGGTGTGGACCACATGCATCCAGTAGTCCTCACTGGGGTCATAGCAGAAAATGGACTTGGTGAGGCCCCCAGACACGTAGATGAGGTTGTTGAGGGACACGGCAGTGATGCAGCGTCTGGCTATGGGGATGTTGGCCCTCAGGAGCCAAGAATTCAACTCGGGGTCATAGCACTGGACCTGGGGAGCAGAACTGCGAATTAGAGTGATGGATTTGGGATGGGTACGTGTTATACTTGCTTTCCAGCTATGGTGACAATGCTAGTCCTGAAACTTCGGAGGTGAAGCCAAGATTAACCCTGGCAAACGGCTCTTACTTTCCAGCTGCTGCTCTTAAAATGGCCGTGAGCCATTCTATATAAACCTTCACGTCTCCTATCTATAAAAGGAGTTGGGGGGAGGTGCGGAATTCATCATTCCAGATGTTCTGGAACTCCCACAGAACTTCAGAGGAATACCTCGCAGCTAATGGTGTGCAGTGTCGAAAGAGAGAGCCCACATGCATATGTGAATCTCCATGAGTTTGGGCTCTGTAACCATGATCATAACTTCAAATAATAACTGATTAATAATAATAGATGTGTTTTCCTGCCATAAAACTGGAGAATGTGGAAACCTTTCAAAAGATCTTGGCATACGTCAGAAAAAAAAAGATCCTCATCACGTATCAGTGGAATGCTTTTAACATGTTTTCAGCTCCACCAGTCAACCGGAAAACAGGATTTATCTGTGGTTGATACCCAGGCACTTAACACAGTCGGGTGACAAGGCTTGGCCATTAACAACCAACTAATCCCATGGTAGATGTGTTTGTACAGGACGCCACGCACCTGCCCTGCCCGTCTCACTCTAAAGGTCTGTTTAGCCATTTTTGTATGTAAGAGGGCCTGGCATCTTTGGCTGCTGGAAGACGTTCTGCGTACGTAGCAGCTGGCAGGTGTGGATGAGTGGACACAGGTGCAATGCAGTGATATTTGAGTCCACGCTTAGGTGCCATTTACCTTTGTTCCCTTTTTTCCATTAATGCGATGCAGCTGTATGTTTGCGTGCGTGTGTCACATTTCAGTAACATCAATATGACATCACAAACTGATCTGGTCAGTCCGCTCCAGCAGCCTTCCACATCTTCAGCTCCACATTCCGGTTCTGGAAGTTCATCGTGTGGTCGTTTCTTAAGTAAAAGGTCCGGCCGTCTCACCTTGTCGGAGCAGGTGGTGTCATCCGGCCCCCCGCCGATCACGAACAGCTTCCCGGCGCAGCTCGCCACGGCCGGGGAGCTGACCGCCTCCTTCATGGGGGCCACCTCGGTCCAGCGGTTGGAGAAGGAGTCGTAGCACTCCACGCTGCTCAGGCGGCTCTGTCCGTCGTAGCCCCCCACTGCGTACACCTGTGTGCAGGACACGCACCTGTGAGGTTATGCGAGCAGCGCCCCCCCCCAGGGGTCAAGACCCGACTGTCCTACAAAGGAGACAGTCAGCCAACGGAAAAGGTCCAAGTGAAGGAGATGGTTGACTTAAGATAAACTTCATTGTCAACGTGTTTTGCATTCATTAAGCCCGAGGAGAGAATGTGTGTGTGCAACCACAGCACGTTATTGCTTAGATGCCATCGTGGAAATCCGCCCACTTTCAGATTCTGAAGAAAATGCTTGCATTCCCATATATTTATATAACTCAAATAAACAAACAAACAAACAAATACACACACACGCACACAGATCTGTACTCATATCTTTGTAGGGACCGTCCATTCATTTCTATGGACCAATCCCTAATCCCAACAATGACAACCTTAACCCCTACCCAGCCCTAAGCTTAACCATAAGTCACCAAACAGTATACAAGTCTTTTGACATTTTTAGTTTTTTGACTGCAGTCAGTCTGTTTTGGAAATCTGAATTTCCCCTTGTGGGGACTGAAAACAGGTTTTATCACACTGTGCAACACACACACACACACACACACACACACACACACACACACACAAGGCACTCACATATTTAACTTTACTTTCAATATACATTACGGCAGATGAAAATTCCAAAACATATATTCACAGCAGTGCATTATTTACTTGACTGTCTGATGCAATAAATGGAATACACTGGAAATCAAAGTGTGGCAGCAATCTCAGCTGCATCTTGGTTGCATTCAACAGGCTCAGTTGATTATTTCACTGTTTATCTAAATCTCCAAGGAGAACCTACTGTACATTAAAGAGCTGCGGTACGTGTGACTTCATGTGAAACTACAAACTGTTCCACATCACAGGAGAAGACACAGACTATAAGCTTGGTCACGTCAGGCAGTAGTGCAGTGTTCTGACAGGCAGTAGTGCAGTGTTCTGACAGGCAGTAGTGCAGTGTTCTGACAGGCAGTAGTGCAGTGTTCTGACAGGCAGTAGTGCAGTGTTCTGACAGGCAGAGCCAGTAGGGGCAAATTACTTAGAACAGAAGACTTACAGAGAACTACCTTAAACCAACAATACGAGGAATTTAATTATTCAGTGGTATTATCTTCAAATTCCATTGCAATGCAGGTTTCATTTTCAATCACACATGGTGTTTATTTTTATACAAACTTCTAATTCTATTTTATTTCTCTTTCCTCATATAACACACTGGTCTGGTAAGCATTGTTTCAGGGACTGCATAGGACAAAGAATATAAAGATTTTGTGAGAGGACTTTGAAACAGGATGTAAACAACCCCATGTAACACTAGGTTTGCGTAGTGAAAGGGAGACCTATTAGGGACAAAGTTTTTATACAGAGAGTGTGTCCTGAACGTGGGATGAGTAAACCACGAGGCTGATTTTATTTAGGTTGACTGAGACTTGGAAAGACAATTAGAAACATGAGGACACAACTATAAGCACGTGAGGGTGCGACACGCTGTTTTTGGGGGTAACAAAGACATAGCTTAAAGTTCTCTCACATACACTGTACTGTGCAAGTACACAGTCAAAGAAAATTATGTTTAAATAATTGCTGTGTTGGTGTAAAACTACGACATTGTGCATGTCAAAGTGTGTCAGCTTACCAATTTCAAAACCTCTCTTAAAATCACCCCAGTATTTGCAGCAATTCAATACACCCATGCATATTTGACCCTACTGAATTAACTAATTAAATGTATTAAGTGAGCGGGTGGAATTTAACAAATACACGGAATAGCTGGGGTGCTTTGAGGAGAGGTTTGGGGACTGAAGCGGAGTTCATCTAACCAAGATATCAATAACTTCTTGGAGAATAGAAGTAGTTCTTGTTAGTTTTTATAGTGTTACTGTTAATCTGTATATGTTCCAGTTTTAAGTTCTATTCTTTTTCTGAGAAAATATATACTTACTATGTAGCTTTAAACATTTTCAAAGTCCTTTCCACAGTACTCACTGGCACAGAACTGGCACTGATTTGCCTAAGCATCAAACTTTAGACAAGAGACTGACCTTCCTGCAGAGGTCAAGGCTGCATACCGCGAGTTATTTTCCCAAGAGTGTCCCTACGCCCGAGTGCCTACCCAACGTCTACTCAAAGACACAGAAACTGGTATATTACACAATGCTCGTTGGTAGCGTGCAGGAAGATGAGAGTATGAATCAGGATATTAACATGCTACTCTAATTAATTCTCAAGAAATATGGATGTTAAAGATACCTGCATACCTTAAGAGCTTGCCAGTTTGAAAGGAAGATCAAAAATGCAGAAGCACTGCAGAGTCAATACCGAAACAGGTCTTGGGTTCGAAACCCGTGGGGGTGGGACATTCATGGCACGACGACCATGGGTGTCTCGTCACATTGCCCCACACCCGTTCCAAAGCAGGCTTCGGTCTGAGAGTTCCTGTACCCTCACCAAATGCTTAAATCTCATTATTTTCCCTTTTCCCTGGAAAGATAATTCTATTCTTTTTTCTTTGAAAAACAGTTCTGGGCATTTCTGAGCACCACTTTAAGATAAAAGACTGAACCACCTACTCTGCTGGTTGAGACTGAAACAATGAGGTAAAAAGCATGTTAACAGAGAAGCAGTCCTCAATATAAGTAACCGTCCCACATCCGTTCCAAAACAGATTTTGGTCTGAGAGTTACTGCCCCCACCCAGCCATTAGTTATATGTCTTTTTTTCTTCTTCACTTTTTTCCATATTCCCTGGAAAGATGTTTCTGTTCCATTTCTGCTGGCAAACAGCAGTTCCAGGCCATTCTGAACGCCACCTCGCGACAACAAGATTTTGCCTAGAAATCATAAGTAAGACACAGACTAAAGGCTCTTTAAGAAAGGAGTGATCAGTCTTCAGGTGACGCGGCTGCAACACGAGTGACACAAGTAACAGGTATCACAAAGGAATGGGACACAACACGATGAGAAGGGCAATTTCAGTATAATCCTGAGTATACCAAGATTGGGGTCTGAGCGTGGCCTGAGTATACCAAGAGTAGGTTCTGAGTGTGGCCTGAGTATACCAGGAGCGGGTTCTGAGCATGGTCTGAGTATACCAAGATTGGGGTCTGAGCGTGGCCTGAGTATACCAAGAGTAGGTTCTAAGAGAGGCCTTAGTATACCAAGAGGCTGTTTTTTCAGTGAGACTTGAATCTGTTAACTTTAGCTCAGAGTCTTGACCGTAATTAGAGTACATCACAAATTCCCTGAAGCAATACATTCTAACTGGATGAATGTGACACAATATCTGGGCAAAACGAGAATAAAGGAATGATATTAGTATATTTCTCAGAGGGAAACCAGTAGACTGTTTGAATACAGGGCCTAGCACTCGCTATTACAGAAGAGAAGGCCACAGGGGAACCGAACTGTCTTGGATTAGACAGTAAACAGACCAAACAGAGACACAGACACAAAAGACAGTGATGGGGGGAGGGACGGGGTGGGGGAGGCAGAGCAAGATAGAAAAACAGCATGAGAGAGAGAGACAGAGTGAGAGAGAGAACCTGTTCCACGGATGACACTTGTAAAGGTGAATCGGTTCACTGATTACAATCTGCCACGCAGACAATATATTTTACAGGCTACTAGAAAATGCAGAAATACGTCCACGACATTCAGACTAACAACGGCTAATTCGCATCAGGAGGAAGAATTTGGACAGACAGGCCTTCCAGTAACTCCCGTCACATACAGCCAGAGGCTAATTTAAACAATTGGGCCGACACTGGATGCATTTAAGCAGGGTTCATCTCTTAAAATTACTTCATCAAAACTCAACCACATGACAAAATTGGCCAGGATATTCTCCAGGAACTTATTATACCAATCTAGAACTTAATACATATGTACCATTGTCACTCTTTTGAGTTTGCAATAGGGTGTAGAATATTCTGGAATGTGTGTGTTTGATCTCACTTTAAAAGAAAACATTTAGGAAAAGGCCCAATGTTTACAAACAGCTGAACTTTACAAGTAGCTCACTGCCTTTGGGAAACAAGAGTCCTTCAAAAACATCTGCTCTTGACCAAAAAGTCTGTAATGACAAATCCATTGAAAGAGACCAAGCCGTAGAGCCATAATTAGAGACTCAGCAGTGAAATAAACACCTGGGTGTGATGTTCTGATTGAGGCTTGGAAATACAAACAGCAACGCAGACATGCAGTGGTGTGAGCTGCTGCTTCTGGGAGCTGATGGCCCTTCCTCTCAAATATACGCTTTATGTACAAAAGCATTGGGACACAATGGGACTTAACCACTGAATTCAAGTGTTTCATTCAGACTCATTGCCACAGGTCTTTAAAATCAAGCACCTAGACATGCAGTCAGGTGTACAAACATTTGTGAAGGACTGGACCGTTCTGAAGAGCTCAGTGAATTCAAGCGTGATACTGCCATAGGATGCCACCGTTGCAATAAGTCAGTTCATTTAACTTCTTCCCTGCTAGATATTCCACAGTGAACTGTGAGTGGTATTACTGCAAAGTAGAAGCGTTTAGGAACAACAGAAACTCAGCCATGAAGCTGCAGACCTCATAAAGCAGGGGTGGCCAATCTTATCCTAAAGGGCCGGTGTCTATGCGGGTTTTCGCTGCAACTCCCTAATTAGATTAATAATTAGAGGACTGATTGGCTGAAGTGTCCTCACACCTGGGTTTGAACAGCTGACCTACAGATTATCCCAAAAACCTGCATACACACCGGCCCTTTGCGGATAAGATTGGCCACCCCTGGTATAAAGTAACAGCGGCTTTGCTGAGTGCTGAGGCGCATAGTGAGTAAAAGTCACCAACATTCTGTTGACTCACTAACTGGAGAATTCCAAACTTCCTCTGGCATTAACTACCGCACAAAAACTGTGCACTGGGAGCTTCATGGAATGGGCTTCATGCAGTGGGCTTCATGCAGTGGGCTTCATGGAATGGGCTTCATGCAGTGGGCTTCATGGAATGGGCTTCATGGAATGGGCTTCATGCAGTGGGCTTCATGGATTGGGCTTCCATGGCCGAGCAACTGCATGTAAGCCTCACATCACCAAGCGTCAGATGCAGTGGTGTAAAACAGACCACAGCAGTGGAAATCATGCTGCTCTCTCTGGCAGTCTGATAGATGAGACTGAGTTGTTGCATGCCAGGAGAACGTTACCTGCCTGACTGCATTGTGCCAACTGTAAAGTTTGGTGGGGGAGGGATAATGGTATGGGGTATTTTTCAGGGTTTCAGGCTCCTTAGTCCTAGTGAAAGGAACTCTTAATGCTTCTGCATACCAAGACATTTTGGATAATTTAATGATTCCAACTTTGTGGGGACAGTTTGGGGAAGGTCCTTTTCTGTTCCAGCGTGACTGTACCCCAGTGCACAAAGTAAGGTCCATAAAGACACGGTTAGGTGAGTTTGGTGTGGAAGAACCTGACTGACCCACACAGAGCCCAGACCTCAACCCCATCACACACCTTTGGGATGAACTAGAACAGAGATTATAAGCCAGGTCTTCATATCCAACACCAGCGCCTGACCTCACAAATGCTCTTCTGGCTGAATGGGCAAAAATTCCCACAGACACGCTACAAAATCTTGTGGAAAGCCAGAAGAGTGGCAGCTGTTATAGCTGCAAAGGAGGGATCGACTCTATATTGATGCCTATGGATTTAAAGTGGGATGTCATAAAAGTTCCTGTAGGTGTAATGGCCAGGTGTCGCAATACTTTTGTCCATATTTGGCCACATGAGCCCTACAGCTGGTGCCAGGAACTGGTAACAAGGCACTGCTGCATCTCAGCCTCCAGATCTAGACAGAGAGGCTAAGGCTGCACACCTTGAAGTAATTTCCGAAGGCCGTCCCTACGTCTGAGTGCCTACCCAACGCCTACTCGCAAACACACAAACTGTGAAATTACACAATGCTCATTGGTAGATTGCAGGAAGATTAATTGCTGTGTTCCTTGACAGAGAGCAGGAATCAGGATATGAATGCACTACCCTAATTATTTCTTAAGAACCTGGGGGATGTGAATGACACCTGCATACCATAAAAGCTTGTTGTTTAAAAATGAGGAACAAAAATGCAGAAGCACTACAAGGGCAATAACTGAAACAGGTCTTGGGTTCGAAACCCGTGAGGGCGGGACTTTCATAGCACGGGTGTCTCTTCACATTGCCCCACATCCCTCACTAAATGCTTAAATCTAGTTTTATTTTCATTTTTATTTCATTTCCTTATTCCCTGGAAAGACCATTCTATTCCATTTTCTTTGAAAAACAAACCGCCTATTGTGCTGGTTGAAAACATGAGATTAAAAAAAATATATGTCATCAAGCAGTCATCAAAATATGTCATGGCTTCTGAACCATCAGGTGACTTGGCTGCAACATGCGTGACATGAGTAATACAGATCGATTGAGGATGGGGCTGACACAACAAGGTGAGAATAGCAAAAATTAAGGTCCAGCTTTGCTAGAGCCTTGAGTATACCATACTTCTGTTCTGAGTATGGCCTCAGTACACTTCCAAGTCATTCCACCTTGAGATGAGACTCAACTGCCTGAGGTTTAACGATGGATGATATTTTTAGGAGACTGGCAACATGAGATGACAGCAGACGGCAGGCTATTTAGGGAAAGAGTAATCAACATAAGTCACGGCATCTGGATCACGCTGTGACGTGGCCGCACCGTGTGCATCACAACACGCATGTGACTGTCGTGCCGCTAAACCTCTCGTATGTGGTAAATAATCTCCACAGATCTCCATGGAGACAAAACCTCACAAACCGCAAGGAGGATAAGTGCAGCCTGCAGCCTGCATTTATCGAACTGGATATCCAGGGTAGTTTGGGGGGGGGGGGGGGGAATGGTTGCAAAGGCGAGGTGGTGATGTTTGGGGGTGTTACTGCAGAAATCAGGTACATGGTAATTTGCATTATGTGCATATTGTGCAATTGTACCTGGACGTGTTGACAAGGAACTCTTGTGTTTTGAGGTACGGCACGGCGTGAGCTAACCTTGCCCAGCAGCACCGCCATCTTGTGTCGCCAGCGGCCTTTGTTGAGGGAAGCCACGCGAATCCACAGGTTCAGCTGCGAGTTGTACATCCAGACGTCCCGGCTGTTGATCCGGCCCCCTGTAGACGCAGCACAAAGGGCAAGTTAACCACATGGTCTCCCCCACACGCACGCTGACCCGTCACAAGTGGCCGGCGTGACGCCTGGATAACTAACTCTGAATAACGCGAAAGTCGATAAAACGGTGATAACAAATCGATGACGCTGACAGGTTGGGCTCAACATACGGCCCACAGGAACACATCAAACGCTGCACTCAGTAGGTATGAAATATGCATATTTTCTACTGTAGGCCCCAAAGGCTCCAGTGACATTTCATTTCGTCTAGTTGTCGCCACGCATGTGATAGAATCAAACTCGCATAGAGTACACGTGAATCAAAAGTGTTTGTTTTGCTTGTTTATCGTTTTGGATTCACTCCCTCTCATGTAAAGCTTTCCTGAGTCTCTTTAAAGGCTGGGTTGAAGACAGTCATCACCCAGCCTAATCTGAAACTCACTTAGATGTTTCCCTCTGCAGATAGTGTGACCAGTGAGCTCCTGTATCCTCCCTAGCAACATGCCAGGTTGTTAAACCATGCCCATCTTAGAAAGGGTTGAGGCCGGACAGGTAATCAAATGGCAGTGACCAGTCCAGCTTCATCCTGTTAGTTTCCCCTTACTGCCCCCTTCCGGTTGAAAATGGAATTGCACCCCCCATCAGTAAGTAAACTCCATAAACTCGGTAAACTCATTTACATTTACATTTACAGCATTTACATTTACATTTACAGCATTTGGCAGACGCCCTTAGCCAGAGCGACTTACATAAGTGCTTTAAGACTCTACAATGAATTTTTCCCGATACTAGCTCAATAAAACCAAGGCTATGAATACCATCGATCTAATACTCTGTTGGGAAAGTGCGATACTCCTGGCCGTGGGATGGGCATGCTGGCACATAGACCGTTGGGGAAGGCGGGAGTAAGATAAGGATCAGCATCCGTGTGCGTTTGACCGCGGGGCGTGCAGACAATGCATGCTCAGTTCCACATTACGGAAGTTGCCGTTTTTCTGGCCGGCACAGTCTGCGTGGGGAATGGATGAGGTGAAAGATGCGTAAGTGAAGAATGTACAACCTACCCATGTACACATCAATGTTAACGATGATTTATAAAAATCAAAACAACAGCAGAGGCATAACCAGAGGCACCATGGGGGCTGATTTAGTTTGTTCTAATCCATTTTCATTAAAATCAGACCCCCCCCCCCAGCAAAGACTTAACCTCCTTAAATCTCTAGTGATGCCTGTGGGCCGTACAATCAATCATGCGCATATTCTACTTTTTCATTTTACATCTAAGCATTAATTACTAAAGATTCATTGACTTAACTCTCTAAAGTAAATGACAGTATATATATCCATCCCTGACTGGCAGCCAAGCCATCATTTGCACTTATCATAAATGCCGGGGGAGTGGGGGGGAATAAAGAGTTTGGAAATGCAGCTGTCAAAAACATGCCCATGTCAGTGGTCACAACAGGAACTGTCAATTACATACCAGCATGAACACAGCAGTGGGCCAGAGATTGTCTGAGGTTCTGCTCCAGACTGTGAAAGCCTCTCTTTGCTTGCAAAGCACAAAGAGCTAATTCTCCTGCTTTCAAAGCCCTGTGAATTTCACACAGGCAGTTCTGAGGACAGACGTGCGGCAGGAGACGTAATGAAGCCTCTGTGAGACCCATCAAACAGGCTATTAAACTAGTCGTTTCCTGCTCCCTTGCAAAGTAGACGGCTTTGATAGGACAGCGGCCTGCAGATGTCTGCTTATTAAATTCAGTGGAAGGTTATCTCTGTTTAATCATTGATATTTTGATAATGTCCCAAAAAGAGGACAAAGGAGGAGTTTCTGCCCGGTCAATCAAGTAACCGATCAAGCAGCCAATCAATGTACTGTATGACCACCACTTAACCCGGGGCCTGCCCATGCAGCCACAGTGTAACTAAACACTTAGCAATTACAGCAATTACACTATTCTAAGCTTACAGATACACCTACCAAATGAAAAAGAAGCCCTACTACATCAGGCTGGTATATCTGGAAACATCTGGAAAGTTGTGAAAGCACAAGATTAACCTGCCTATCAAAATTTCTGCAAATCAAACGGGTGTGACCTCAGACAACAGATAGCATACGAACAGCCGTGTCTGGAGGCATGTTTCATGCCACATAAAGGCAGGCCGCAGAATGCAGGTCTGACTCGCAGGCCTGCATTTTTATATAAAGACCTGATGGGGGAGAGGAGCATTCGCCACACGAGCCATCATAAAGCGTGCCTGGGATTTAAAATTCAAACTTAAACTCACAGTGCAGGAGTAGGACAATGTTTATAGTGTCCTCGTGACAAGAACATATGCACCCATCCATCCAGTACACACACACACACACACACAGACACACACACACACACGCAGACACACACCTCTTCCCTGGCAGCATCTAAGTTGAACGGTCGAACATCATAAGTCTAAAGTTTAAATTCGTGCTACAAATCGCTGTAGCTTTATACAGACGGAAGCAAAAACACTGCAGGGAAATCCATGTATGAAGAAGAGGGGAACGAATCTGGATGGAGATGGAGAGGCTGAAAGTGGCAGTGTTCCATGTGAGGCCATCGACGGCCTGACTAAACACAAGACAGATGTGGCTTTTAAAGGGAGGCGAAAAGCAGCCTCGTTCCACGTTTTCCTTCCACACTGATGCGCTCCATCCCTTTAAGAGGCTTCTCTGGGGGAGAGCTGTGGAACACTGACCGGGCCAATGGGAAGTGAGCGCTGGGTGACAGGAAGTCTGAGAGAGTGGCGTTATCGTGATGTGGCCTCATATTTTCCTCCATCTGGGCAGGCCTCCAGAGAGAACAGGGGATAAATAACACAGAGCTCACTAAGTAAAACCAAGTAAAATAAACTTTACGCCCACTTACCCGACACCAGAATGTCATTGCGCAGCGCGCACACGGCGTATTCGGACTTGGTAAACTCGGGCAGCTTGGCCAGCGACTTCCACTCTCCGGTGACGGGGTCATAGCATTCCGTGTAGGGCAGGTTAAAGCCCCCCACCCTCTCGCAGCCGCCCACCACCACGATGACCTCCGAGAAGCCCGTGGACCTGCGGCAGGGAGAGGATGGAAAATGTCCCGTCAGAAACGCCCGTTCCCTGGCGGGCATTCAAAAAAGGCCCCGTGAGGCTCAGGAGCAGAGCAGGTAGGTACAGGAATATGAGTGCCCATGTGAGGCTCAGGAGCAGAGCAGGTAGGTACAGGAATATGAGTGCCCATTCTGCCTCACCGAGTAACCTGACACCCATCACCTGACACCCCCACTCTGCGAGGCTGCTGGGTGGAGGGGGAGCGGGGGCGGGTCATCCATTCCCTCTGGCGAGAGCTGTGCTCTTTCCGTGTTCGATCTGTCCGCTTACGAACAGTGGAAGTTGCGTCACCAGCAAAGAGGAGGATGTCACCCGGAGGGAAACAAGTTCATTTCTGTCCCAATTCTAAGTGAATGACTAAGACGCGAACACACCCGAAGTTAATTACAGCCATTATTTATAAGAATATAATAACGCCGGCTTAGGGGACAAAGAACTGCTGATGTCACACCAGTATCTCTCCCAGCATTTGTCAAAATTACAGGCCCCCTGGAAGTGGCTTTCCGGAAGCGCAATATTCAGAAATATGTCATACGGGAATGATCGCTGCTCAGCTCCTCCCCATAAACGTCTTTTCATTTTAAAGATGGAAAGACTAGCTCTGAAGTATCAATGTATTCATAAGCTATTCTGTTTCTGATCTTTTTAAAGAGTCACGTGTAAACAGGTTAATTTGAACACGGATTTCTTCCTAATCTGTGCTTTTCACAAAAAGAGCAGACTGGTCTTTAATTATAGACATGGAGACACAGAAAGCTGTTTGTTTCTTGGCAGAAAAAGGTCCTTTTCCCTCCCCCTGGCAATCAGGTTAACCTCAAACATTTACTGAATTTCAAAGCTAAAAGACTGAAAGCCTGATCGTTCTGTGATCAGAAGGTTGCTGGTTCAAATCCCGCAGTCGGCAGAGTGATTTCCCTTTTGGGCCCTTAAATTTTGGAAATTTTTCTTCACAGAAAAACACACATCCAGAGGGGCTTGGAATTTAAGGGACTGACCCTGCCAAATAAACAGAAATGTGAATGTAGCTAGGTTCTAATTCCCCGTTAAGAAGGAAGACCCCCCCCCCTCCCCCCCGGCGCTGTGCTGGCACCTGCGTGGCCGGGTGCGGGGAGACATCATCTCGTTACCCAGCACATGGTATCGCCGGGCCTCATGCAGCAGCTGGTAGCACTCGGGGGCGTTCTGGATGAGTTGGTCGCCCTCCACCGTCTGCACGAAGTAGTTGGGGTGCAGCAGCGGCATGCGGACGTGCTGCAGCAGCTCGCAGAGCGCAGGTCTCCGCTGGTCGACATCGTGGTACACCCAGCGCATGATTGCCTCGAACGCCATCTCCTCCTTTCCCACCACCAAGTCGTCGCTGCCGGTGTACTCCTCCAGCTCCTCTTGACGGAGGTCCAAGAACTCCTCGTGCTGGGCCACCTCGGTGAAGTTCTGCAGGGCGTAGGTACGGCAACGGCTTGCCAGCTGCTTGAGGGAGTGGGCATCGGCGAAGCGCTGGATACCCAGGCAATTGCACGGGTCCAGTTGGTCCTCGAGGAACTTGGCACAGGCGTCGCGCAGAGTCGCGATCTGGAAGAGGCTGGAGGTCTCAAAGAGGAACTGGACATTCTCGGTGGTGATGCGTGCCTTGCCTGTGTAGACGAACTGCAGGAAGCTGTCCATGGCCTCGGCACGGATGCCGTTGATCTCGACCAGCATCTCACGGCTCTCACGATGGTCGTTGCAGAACATGGCCCGAAAGTAGGCGCTGCAGGCGGAGAGTACCGCGCGGTGGCACGGGAACTCGTGGCCCTCGACACAGATGACCACATCGGTGAAGAGACGGTCATCACGGAACTCGTTGAACACCTGCAGTATGCCGTCGGCGTGCGTGGGACCCGAGGAGAAGTCGAAGATGTCGTGGCTCGACAGCGCCTTGGGATCCATCTCCAGAACTTTGCGCTTCACCGCCGGTGAGTCGCGGACACCGGAATCCTCCCGGTTCAGCCGTCGTCCCAGGATCAGCACCATGATTGCATGCGAATCTGACCAGCAACGTTTTTTTCAGCCTGTATATATATGAGGAAAGGTGACATCACAGTCACGGGACCAGCAGGTTCTGGGAGGCCTGATGAATAACTCAACAGAACTATGGTTATGTAAACACAGAATACGCTTGAGTTATTCATAAACTACACTACAACCAACAGACATGTAAACACACCAATTTGACATTTAGAGAAATCCATCTGAAAGTCATGAATTTTGACGGCAGCTCTCTGACACCCAGGTACTTGTCATTCCGTTAGTAAGTGCTGGTAAAATATGGTGGCAAGTTGTTCTGCAGATTTTACTAGCACAACAACCCCATCCCCCACAAATTTCCACCTCCCTGAAATCAATATGCCTTAAGTGGGACGTCTGCATTTATATTACACAAAGCAAATGTCTTAGGAGTGGGGCTGTTGACAGTTTTAATGTAGTCAATCCCAACTGAATGCCCCAGGCATGACACAACAATAAGCATGCATGTAATCAAAGAGGGGGCAGTAAAGGGAATCCTCATTTTCACAGTGATTTATGGCGGAACCCTAACCTTGAACATATCCTTAGACGGTTAAGCTAGTCTCCGGCTATTTAAAATTTTAGGGGTGAAAGGGTTTGCGATAAAACCAATATCTCTTGGGAGGGGTCTACGAGGGTCATCACCGAAAACAATTGACAGCAAAACAATAACGACGCCAACGAATGAAGAGGCTTAGATTAAGATTGAGGAAATAAAATTAAAAACAAAACAAAATCACGCACGTGTTCAAGCAGTAAACACCCCTAACCTAGTCTCTCATGAGCTCCACAACATTGGTGCCCCGGGCATGAGGATATTACTTGTGAAGTTCAGTTCCACGAAGCGAAAACACGGGGGGAGTCTTTTGCGCAACACGCTCCCTTCAGACCGAGCCTGTCATTATTTTTGAGAAGCAAATCAGTGTTAACACAGCGCAATATTTCGTAACCGTTTTAACACAATATTGTTCGAATTCACAAAAGCTAAGTGGCTAATAGAGTAGGAGGTGCATGTTGGACACCCCCCGCGTTTTTCCTTCGTGCGGCCACCTATTTAAGGCGGAGCCGGCGCCGAGAAAAACACTGCAAGAGCGACATTTCCGCCTACGGCCACTGCTGTCGTACATATAGGTTTATCATACAACGCAATCAAATAAGTTTAAAAACAGTAATTATATAGCAAGGGGCGGGTTTGTTAACTGGGTTTGGGTTTTTCCTCTCTAACCCCTACGTACTGCTATTGCGGAACACATTAGAAAACACAATAAGCATGTGCGCAGTAAACATTATGTATTGCGGATCTTTAATTATCTCTGATGGTGGAAACGCTTTAGTGTTAAGTCCAGCAAAACAATACACTAACCGCAAATGTTTCAGAAATACGAAAATAACAGACCGGGGACAGCCGCACGAATGCATCTTACTTAATAAAAGGATAAAATCATTATTATGGTTATATATTACAAATAAGGGAGTAAGCCTTGTCAGTACAATACTGTTTTTGACATAACACTTTTTGCGTCTTCGTTTTTACTTTTCTCCTTATCGGGCAGACAGAGACGGCGCGGTGCGCAAAAACACCTGGAAGGGTTTTCGTCTGGGATATTTTAACCTTCAGACAGACTGCAAAAACACACCAAGGTCCCCCAGCATTGCACAAAAAAACGCACCTCTGAACGGTATTTCTGCGTCAGTACCTGAAATTTCGAACCACACCTCACACCTAGTAAGGCGAAAGCATATACAAAAGAGAGGGAATGTTACGCGAAAAAAAAACCATTATTTTATTTTGCCACACGTCATGTTCAAGACAAAAGGGTATCAAAGGTTATCTTAATCCGCTTTCCATTGTTTTACCAGCGGTGACGTAAACTTTAAGTAAAATGTTATTTTAAATGCATTGTGGTCGAATTTCTACAGTATATTTTGTAAACAATTACCATAATAGTAAAATATGAATAAAGCAAAAGAAGGAGTAACCTACCCTAAATTTCAGGAAAAGTTATAAAAATCACTTTGAATAAATGGATGGTCATCGACTCATTTTGAAATGTGATGAAAAATTTAATGAAAACGGCAGATGTAGCTCCGTTGTAAACAAACAGCCTCAAGAAAGATCACGTGTCAGCTAGCCGTTTCAGATATTAAACACAGATATTACATCTAAAGTAGATAGAATGCATGTTATAATCGCTACCATCATGACTAGGCAACAGGTTAAACGAAGAGATTGTAAACAATATTTCCTACAGTTAAAACAAAAATGTTGTCAGTTGCATGGCCTCAAAACAATATCTTCAGCCCCTTCTTGTATGATTTACAGGCTTTTCAGGGCTAGATTTACACTACACAGGATCGGTTTTACATAGACAGTATATGCGTACATTTTTAAAAAGTCTCGCGTTAAAGATCTTACCTTTACAAAACTTGGCACAAGTTTATATGCTCATGAAAAAAAATGACAAAAATGGAAAAAAGCAGAAAACTATTTCAAATATTGCGTTAGTTTTCAATTCAAATGCACAATACCACAGTAGAATATTTTATCTGCCTATTTCATGTAACCAAAATGCACATATTTATTCCCGACCTCGCATTCTTCATCAGCACAAAGAGGACTGTTAAAACGGCCAGCGCAGAATTAGAATATATGTCATCATCGCCACATGACACGCAGCAGTCGGCTGCTAGGTGGCGTTTGTAGGGGATGTAGTTAATTCCCGTGTGTGCGCGCGTTACTACGACGCGTCCTCAGACAACAATTCCCACAATCCCCCAATACTCCACGTGGCCGGCTTTTGTTTGCAAACATAAGGTTCGGTTACCCGGCTCTGTACATGGACTGGAGCGGTTAAGCAGGCTCTTGTTCTGTGACGTAATTCGAAAAAACCTGCTTTTCATCGCATGCAGTTAAATACTTTGTTCTCCGTAAAAAAAATCCAATGTCGGAAATAAACCGGTTAATCTATTGTTTATTTTGCTTCTGAGTAAAACAGAAGGCGCGCAATTAAATTTCTTACCTATATACTTTGTCTATGACTCTTTTAATGAAACGGTGTAGAGTAACACCTTTCCTAAGGGTAAAAGTGCGATTAGAAAAATTATTAGAATAATTTTTGTCATTATATAAGATTATTTTCACACATGATTAAGAGAGCTGTCTCTCTGTCCTTAACACGCCACAAGTCGGTTCCTGGCGCCAAAATATGTACGATAAGTACTTAAATACATGTTGTTGTTTTGTAACACGCTATTGTTGTACTGTTTTGTTGCCCAAAGAGTCGTCAGAAAGGGTGCCGTATTTTTCCCCTGGAAGCAAGTATAGATGACATTCGGACGCCAGCCCAGTTGCCAGCCTGTTGGACCCGGTTTAAACACTCGCCGCCTTGTGCTCCGTATACCTCCTATGCTTTGGTGACACCGCAGTCATAAACGCCGGTTCTTGCTAGTCCAGCAGCGTTTACACTTAATTCACTTATTCTTTTTTGCGAATCATACCTGCGTGTTTACGTTTCGGCACCACGCGTCACCCTGGGGAGGCTACAGTGTCCTTTAGTGGCCATTTGCGGAATTGCACTTTGTTTTCAAAATTTTGTCCTCCAAGTCATTAATTCAATACGCGTTGATGTAAAAAATAGTCCCGGTGATCCTATTACTTTCAGGAATGAAAAACGCGAAGTGAGTACAAATAATCATTGTTTTAAAGTAAATAACAACCAAACAAGTGGTGAAGAGAGTTATTCTGGAAGACGTGACAATTATTTATAATGAAGAACATCTAATGTCATTTTGTCGGAATTTTAATGTTAAACCATTATTCATCCATCCATTTTCCAACCTCCCAATCCTTATTAAACAATTAAGGAAAGTAAAAATCATTTAAACAATTCTTTAATTTATTACAACAGCAGCAGTTCCCACTTCATTAGTTACAGCCAAGTTCAAATAATTACAGGTAACGTTCAAATACCAACGCAAAATATATTTTATATTTTAGGAATTAAACGTTACGTGACAACGATACACACAACTTCCCAACAATCCCTGTCAAATTACAAAGAAAAGTCTTGGGGGGGGAGGGGGGAGTTTCAAAGGGAATGGGGAGGAATCAAAGGTGGCGTGTTGATATTACTCATGGGGACACACTGACATAGGTGCTGATTTTAAAAAATATATAATATATACATACTGAGATTCACCTTTCTAAATAAATAATTCTGCAAGTCCAAGATGCAGATATAGGTATATTCAGCTCTTACGTTACTGGGAAAACCACAGTCTTCCTGAGCCCGTAGAAAGTCAGCAGATTTCTGCGCAGGTCCCGGTACCGGAGTCCATACAGGTAGGGCGCCAGCGCCTTGGGCAGCACCAGCAGCACATTGCAGACGACCAGGGAGACCCAGAGTTTGGCCCGCAGGTCGACGGCGCGGAGCTGCGTGTACAGGAGCAGCTCGACAATCAGCACCAGCATGGGGCAGAAGGAGAGGAAGAGGTGCATGTAGTGCATGAGGAAGGTGCCCTTGGCCCGTGAGCAGCGCTGGCCCCCCCACACCCCCGAGCGGCGGGTGCTGCAGCAGAGAGCCATGTAGCCGCAGAAGATCAGCAGCAGGATGAGCAGGATGGTGGAGACCATCAGCAGCATGGAGAGCTTGAGCACCGGTGACCGGCCAATGGTGAGCAACAGCAACAGGGACATGGAGCAGATGTGAGACTGGCAGGGGCTGGCGGCTTGGAACCACACGAAGGCCCCCACCATGGCCAATGGGAAGAAGACGGACAGTCCCCACACAGCCCCCACCACGCTCCTGGTCCGGGAGACGGGCCAGAGTGCCAGGTAGCGCAGGGGCGACAGCACAGCCAGCAAGGTGTCCATTGCCATGGTGACGGTGCTGAGGATCCCGGCGGTGTAGAGCGCCCCCAGCAGCGACAGCAGGGTGGCGCATCCCCACTCGGACATGAGCACTCCGGCGGTGTTGAACACCGACGTGAACGCGTACACGGAGACGAAGGCCAGGTCGCTTAGCAGCGCGTTGGCCAGCAGGAGGTAGCGCGTCTCCTGCCGCAGGCGTGGACTGGACAGGACCTTGGTGAGGATGACGGGGGTGATGGGAAATACCACCAGGATGCAGATGATGGGACAAACCTGCAGGGCGCGCATCTGCTGCGGGGGCACGAAGACCTGCCACTCGCTCAGCGACGAGTTGGAGCCGTCCGGTTGCTTGCCGTGTTTCCCCCCGTCGTTAGTCCAGTTGTACCTTCCAAACGTGCAGATCAGCGACCAGAAGGACCCCTTGGCATCCATCGCACCGTCTAACTGAAGTCCGAAGTGGATATGCGACTCTCCTGGCCGTGACGGGCTGTCACCAGGCGCTTAAGCCAGGAGACGGGTGAATGTCGCAGTCATCGATTAACCACAGAAGCCTTTACTAATGGTTTCCCAGGAAACCCATATTTGGGCAAACAAAGTTAAACAAGCAAATGTGCTCAAGGGGAAGAGGGCGCCCTTCTGCTAAACAGCAGCTCTACAGCAGTATCCTCTATGGAAGCAGGACACGTTGATGATTTGTATACACATAGTGTAAGTTACAATTTAACGATGACAAAAAACTCCTAAAATCTATAGACAGCTGAAAGTATTTTCATCTAACAATGTGATGAAAACGGAACTAAATTCGTGATTAGTGAGCATCTAACGCTATATGGTTAAAACCTATACATTTACAATTGTATCTGTACCATTAATCTGTAACTGCCTACATAAATAACGAAAAAGTATGGAAATTTGCACATAGTACAGAATGCACAGCATTCACTTGGGAAAATTCACTTTGGCTCTAATCCAATAGGCAGTTTCTAGATTGAATCTTTGGAAACATCAGGAATTGCTAAGATTTTTGTTCCTCATTAGATCTCCAGCGCAAGTTGAGAAAATGACCACAACTTTGGGTGGGTAAACTGCGATTACAGTCGTTTTCCAATTTCTGCATGTGATCTTCATTATTTTAACTCCCTACATACTGAAGCTGTAACGCTGCATTTATCGGCTGCACGGTTCTCCGACTTTCTGGACGACACTCCCTGGAAAGCCGCTTTGTGGGCGGGCCTAAGCCACCGTCACCTGACTCCGTCCCCGGAAAAGATTCAGGAGAGTGTCGCTGATGTCGCGGTAGCGGAGGCCGTACAGATAGGGGGCGCCGGCCCTGGGCAACAGCGTCAGGAGGTGGGTGTTGAGCATGTTCATCAGCAGCAGCTGCCGATGGCCCAGCGTGCGGCTTTGGAAGAGCGTCAGCTCCACGGAGAAGACCAGGCCGGGCCCGAAGTGGAGCAGGAGCATGGTGGCGTGCGCCAGCAGGGTGACCCGCGCGCGGGAGTACCGGCTGCGCCAGATGCCCGACGTCCTGGTGATGACGTACAGCCGAGCGTAGAAGTAGACGATGAGGCTCCCACAGAGGATCACTCCCACAGAGCAGTACATGTGGATGCCCACCATCATGTTGCCACTGGCCGAGCCCAGGAGGGTCACAAACAGACAGGGTGTGTGGTCCCACGGCACGGCGCTTTGCGTAACCTCCATGACGATGACCTGGGACGCCGGGTACATGGTGGACAGGATCCAGGTCCCCAGGAGGATGCGTCGGGTGCGGGCCGGGGACAGGAGGCGCTGGTAGTGCAGAGGCCAGCGGACAGCGACGTAGGTGTCGAGCACCATGAGCGTGATGCTGAGGATGCCGCAGCAGTAGGCGGTGATGGAGGCGGCGGTGAGCAGCTCGCAGGCCAGGCGCGGCACGCCGGCCCCCAGCGCGTTGCAGCTCACCACGGCCATGTTGAACGCCAGGAAGACCGTGTCGGCCGCCAGCGCGTTGGCCAGCAGCAGGTAGCGCGTCTCGCGGCGCAGGGCGCGGGAGCAGAGGATGCAGGCCAGCAGCAGCGAGTCGGCCGCCAGCGTCAAGGCGGTGAGTGTTACCGCCGGGATCAGGAAGAGATCCATGTTCCAGTGCCGCACACCCTCCAACCACGTGGAGTTGTGCATGGTGGGGCCGCGATCCGGATCGTGCGGGGCTACGCGGCCTGCCCAGGTTCTGGTTCCGAGCTGCTGGGGAAATGGGAGAGAAGATCTGCCAAGAGCCCCTGAAAACATATAGGATTATTATTATCATCATCATCATCATCATCATCATCACCATGAGGTAATAAACATGGAGATTCTACTGGATCCAGCTTGCCTTTTGTACCTTGCCCTTGGTACAACCACAGTGGCACTTTTATTTTACACAATCCCTCATTTATTCTTCTCATTAATTATATCTGATGTTGTAAAGTATCACAATACACCCGTGTAAAGCGCCTTTGGGTGCCACTGTTGTGAAAGGCGCTACATAAAAATGATTTGAATTGAATTAAATATCTTCCCCCAAATAGGCAAACGAGAGGGGGTGACTGTGTCCAGAAAACCTAAACCCCTCATCAGTCCCATCTAGGCTGTGATCTGCCTCGATTCACAATGTAGCAGTACAGACTGATATCAGTCCGTTCCACTTTTTAACCAATTATCTTATTAGGGGATTAATAAGACACAAGACAAATATCCCACACTGGAAAAGAGATGACAGTGAAGTAAAGACCTGTTACCAGCCATTTCCACACAAGATATCATGACTCCAGAGACTGAAGTCCAGCACTCTGGTGAAATTCTATAATCATGGTCATTCATCAACCAAATATTTATAATGCTTTGGTGGCCGCAAAAAAATGTACTTAATTCTCCACTCATTTGCTATTTTTCCCAATACAAGGAACAGAGTAAAAAATCAATAAAAACTGAGAGAAAAAACACAAGAGGCCATTAACGAGACTTAACCATGAGCTCAGGAGGTCACTACTTGGGTGGCAAATACAGTCTCTTACCGGCTGAGTTTATGCTGTGAGCAGATCCCGGCAGACGCTCTTTGAGAAATCGACATCCACCTAGGGCTAACTCCCGGCAAGCACGTCCGTCCACTTGCCTCCCCTCCTCAGAAATTGATGGCCCGGACGGTCACGCGGCACTATCAGCGTATGAACGGCGGCTCATCAGCGCAAAGGCGGCCCATTCAGATGTCTCATGGCAACATGGGCGAGCCCCCCCCCCCCCCAGCCCATGTACCTCAGTCATTTAAAACATACCCCATAATACACATCACGTCCTCTTGGCTGTTATTGTATTGACTCTGAGCTCCGCTCCACCGTCATGTTCACATCTCATATCCGTCACGGAATACCGGAATACCCAGGCAAAGTAATAAACTAGACATATTGGGGGAAGAACCTGGATTAGGCAATGAGCGCCATCCTAGGCGCTCTCGGCCGGCTCTCTGCAGAGACGGGGCAAAGGGCGATTCGGAGCGACCGCAGGTGTCATGGGGCCTCATAAAAACAGACGTCGATGCCTAATGAGCCACAACCTCACAGCAGCTCATAACACAGCACCATCATAATAATGGGAGGTCATCTGCGCCCGTTTATGGGATGTTTAAGTGGAACAGATAACAGCGGGAACAACTCCTCACATTCTATCACCGTGCAAAGATACACAGATTTACAACGGTCTGCTTCACTAAAGAAACTGATCTAGACAAACAAATCAGTCAATCAACAGTCCACACACAGAAGGCACAGTAAAAAGAAAAACTAATTTAACTGATTATATGGTGGTTTAGAGAATCAGTTACTGTAAGGACCACACACACTTTGAATAATTCTGAAAAGAGAAATAGTAGGAATTATCTTGTCTGTCCAAGAAAACAAAAGCACATGAAAAACTGAATTTCTCTTCCGATTTATTTTGCCTTTATTTTATTGTACAATCTTTTTCTCTCCCCTATATCGCCCCGTCTCACTCATTTTCCTCTCCTTCGATGGTTTGTGCTTCTCCTCTTCTCGCTTCCGTGCCCTTCCACATCTTCATCTTCCGCTTCACTATCTTCCTCTTCGCTGATCAACTGCAGCTCTTCCTCATCCTCCTCCTCCGCCTCCTGCTCCCTTACCAGCAGCTTCCGGAACACTTCAAACTCCTCTTGCGTTGCCTGGGCAACTCGGCTAAGGAACGTGTCCTCTGATGGACAGATGACGTCTTTGAGGCTGGGGTTCGCGATGCGAGTCTGCCCTTTCTTGTCGGGCGTCTGGTACTGGCCGCGGCGCTCCAAGAAGCTGTGCCGGCAGCTGAGGTCCTCCAGCGAGACGCGGAACAGTCCGGAACGCACCATCTCAGCCTGTCGGAGCCCCATGCGGAAATAGGCATACTGCAAAAAAGACAGAAATGTGTAACTATCAACCAGAGGACAGAAGCTAGCAGTTATAATCAACTGCCCTGGCTTTTATTAGGCATAGGGCCATGAGTGTAATAATGAGAGTAGCCAGTCCAGATTAGCCTTCCTGTCTGTAAGTTGGCTGTGGAAACACTCAAGGGCAGCAGGATCTATAGCAAGGGTCTCCAACTCTAGCCCTGTAGAGATACTGTCCAGTAGGTTTTCTATCCTACTTGGCTTCTGATGAGCCACACCTGTTCCTGGTATTTACCTGAGAACAGGTGTGACTGATTAGAAGCCGGGTAGGATCGAAAACCTACTGGATAGTAGCTCCCCAGGACCGGAGTTGGAGACCCCTGGTCTATAGGGTCTCTCCCTTGAATAAGCAACTGATTTACAAATACATCATCTTGTCAGGGAATAACATAAACAAATCAACATTTGAATAACAAATGGGGGAAATATTCCCTTTAAAATTTAACTCTGAGCCTAGGCTGTGGGTGATGTTAAGGCCCGTCCCCCGTCCCCAGGGAGGGCAACACCTCCTAACCTGAAACTTGTACTCGAGCTGGGCGGCATCCTCCAGCATGGTGCTCGGGAAGTCCCGCAGTATCTCTGTGACCTGCTGGCTGGTGAAGAGGCACTTCTCCTGCAGACAGCGGCACACCAGGTTTAACCTCTTTGGGGGCAGAGTAAGGAGTGTTGGACACTGGCTGATCACCCTCTGCAGGCTGCCTGAGGAACAAACCGTTGTGGAATTAAGTTACATGCTTGCACTGGGTCACACACTACACAATTTTATACTGTACAACACATTTTCATGTACTTTTACTATATGGTAGAAAATACATCACTGAGTTTATCTCACACACTGGAACATAGGTAGATGATGCCTACAACAATATGTACCCAAACATTTCACTTAATACTAACTTTTCAATTCTTAAAGTCATAAACTAGGGGGTCAGAAACTTCGTAAAACAAGAGTAAAGGAAAACATCACAATATTTAATGAAAGTATAAAACATGTATTGTTTTTAGAAAGGAATCACTGTGGGGATCACCTTCCACTAATCCCAGCTTTCGTAGATTGTCGATTCGCTGCTGCATCTGTGTGCCCTTCACCCGATACAGTTTGGGACACTTCTCAAGAACCTTCAGGATGCTCGAAGACTTGAGGCCTAGGGACACCAGGTGTGAAATGCCGCACAGGTGCAGCGCCACCGTTTGACCGGCTCGGTTATTGCAGGCTCCATTCAGGAGCAGTTCAGCCTGATCTTCTGAGAAACCGAGCTGTACTAGGGCTGGCAGTACCTCCTCCCTGACAGGCCGACGTAAAGGCTTCTGCAGCCGGCTGTCAATCTCTTGAAGCACACCATCGGATTTAGAGCAAATACGCCTGAGCATAAAAACTGACAGGCTCCCATTCCGCTTCTCAAAACTGACAGCACGCGTACAGCGAAAGAAAAATGGCTCTGGTGTTATCCGGCAGGTCCATCGGAACACCTATAATTATAGAGAATTAATGAAAAACGCATAAAACCATCACGTTACGAGTTACTTCGATCTTACATGAATTAGTCGAAAGCCAACTTATATTTAAGTGGTTATGCACGACAAACAAATCATAATATTCATCGTTTTACATTTTCCTTTTAATTGTAAAGAACCTACCCGCTGTATGCACACCCGTAAAACCATGCCGGTCCAGCTGAAAATATGTCCGGCTGGAAACTCTTGTCGCACTTTTAGTTCCGGGGATTAAAGACTCGCGTCGGTTTTTACATTTTATGATCACATTCATACATCATCGTGTTTAATTCAGAATAAAAAAATACGATATTAAGAGAATGTAATTTTCGGATGATTAAAATGACTGACAGAACATCTTAAGATGTAATTTGCCCACCAAAATTAAATTCAATAGAATCAATTGAATAGATTAAAATATTATTAAACATGTGTTTTACAAACTACAAATACATGCATACATTTTATTTATTTATTCATTAAAAACCATTTAAAACCCAAACAATTCCTTCATCTAGTTGACTGTGTACAAGGGACAAGGGCAGAGTGCATGCGAGACCTTGCTGCAGATGGCAGAGTTACAGCGACTCAAAACCATGTTAGAAATGCTAGTGATTTCTCCTAACTAAACCAAACTTGCTAGTCTGAACTAAGGGTGCCTACACTTGCCAGTACGCCGCTGGGTATGAGATCAGCGCTCCCAGATGACTGGCCAGCAGGCCGATGTATACTGCATGCCAAGTGCTATACTAAACATCCAATGACTGAAATCAGACCTAGAGTGACTGCAAATACACCACAAGCTCCACTCCACCACAACCAGTTCCTCTTCTACAGCCTCTCGGTGCAGGGGTTTGTTCCCCGCCTTCCCCTTTAGCTCCTCCCCCAATCCCTCATGGCTGAAATCTGCTTTAGACTCCATTCAAGGTGGCAAAGGCTGCATAGGACCCGGAGTCATACAGCACATGATCAGACTTCATTCATCAGAGAGGCACTTAAGAAGCTCGCTCTCCAGCGCAGCCATGGATCTTTTCTCTTCCTCCGTGTCGTTATCATCTTCCTCGCATGGCAGCACCTCGACAGAGCCCAGGCATCCATCTCCACATGGGCCTTCACCTCGGAGAACCTCTGAACTGGACCCGCGGTGGAGAGAGGAGTCTGTAATGATGCAGAAGTTTATTGGGGTTAGTGGGAGAATGCATGCAGGTCAAAGAACTTTTAAACCACGTCAGGAGGAGACTGGCTCAGCAACTTCAGCACAGGCCATCACCTTAACCTTTATTTTGGAAAGAAACTTCAGGGTAAAACTATGCATCCATCCACCTTCATCACAAGGCTCCATGAGCCTGGAAGTGATACCAGTGTTTATTTATTAGCTTAGCACAGGGGCGCTTGCTGCTTGTCCTGATCATTTACATTCGCAGTTCCGCCAGCTCGACAGTTCCAGAACAATCTATCCCACTCACTGGTTACAGAAATTATCCAGCTCCGAAGGTAAAGTCCCTTGAGAGCTGGATCTGAGACCTTACTGAGCAGAGGGGTCCCTAACCCCACACGGCACTCACCGTGGTACGCGGGGAAGACTTCCTCCCAGCTGTAATGGGCCAGGTTAATCGGCTGTCGGAGCCAGGGGACCTGCAGTAACTCCTGCAGCGTTGTCCGTTCCATGGGGTCTGGGTCCAGCAGGCCGGAGAGCAGCAGGTATAGCTCTGATGGGAGATGAACGAGGACCAGGTGATCATCAAGCGATGGGCAAACGCTCGATGGTAAATGTGGATACGTCACGACACCAGTACAGGCGTTTTAGTTAACAAACCTGGATTAACGGTGCAAATGCATAGCCGATAGGGATATCGCGATATAATCCTGATCATATGGCACATGCTCAATAATCACTAGGACTTCATATGATGTGCGTAAACATTTGTCTGGAATCTGGCTTTTTCGGTACTATATGGATGTTTAATTAGGCCCACAATTTGGTAAGCAGATTAGTAGGATGTCTAAAACATTAATGACTTGATGCCCATAAATTAATAATCCATATAAATTTGGCATATCCATATTTCATAAATGTGACTTCAAACACCAGTCTCTTTACCTTGCTTATCTACAATATCTGCTCTTTCAAGAGATGCTGTGGCAGCTGAGCTGTCCCGTTCTTCGCCGCCACTTCAGCGCTTCCACGATTTATCAAAAAAAGTAGCATGTGCTCACCAAACTGAATAATTATTGTGCATGAGCCGCATAATCCCAATTATATTGCGACAGCTCTAATAACCAACGTTAAATATGCTGCACGTCAACCAGAAACAGGAACACATCACATTAGTAAACAAGGTGTCTGCTCACAGACAGAAGCAGAGAGAGACCAACCCCCCGTACCTTCTGATATGGAAAAGGGGGGGCACAGTTGTGCCTTTAGGGCCTCCTCCACCTCACAGAAGGGATTTTCACCGAAAAGCAGAGTGTAGAGCAGTATCCCTAGAGACCACATCTCCAGCTCTGGGCCCTCATACCTTCACAACAAACAAATGCAAGAGAGCAGCTACAGTGAGGCGTGTAGACAAAGCTTTGGTTCTTTCACGCCAGCATCCCCGCTGGGAAACGCTTCCGCTTCCCAAGGAATCCTTCAAAAGTCTGTTACTCGAGCTGAATAGCAACTGACTTTCTCAGACTCGCTTTGACATTTCCACCTCCGGTTCATTGACATGCTGAGATACATACGGGTTTCCCAGCAGCACCTCCGGGGAACAATACTCCAGCGTCCCGCAGAATACGTGGAAGAGCTTCCCCGGCTGCAGAAAGGTGGCTGAGCCGAAGTCGATCAGCCGGATGTGGAAGTTTGTGTCGATGATGATGTTCTCGTCTTTGATGTCTCGGTGCAGGATGCTCCTGTCCCGGAGGTAACTCACTGCGACCACCAGCTACGGCAAGGAGAAAGGGACTCGTAAGATGAGACTAATGGCTATATGTAGCGCAGTGGTTCTGAATCCTGTTCCTGGTGCTCCCCCTCTGCCAGAATGTTTTCATTCCAACCCAACCTCAATCAGGGTCAAATGGTCGTTAAAAGGTTAATAATGAATGTGGCAGGCTGAAAATGTTGTGGGTTGGAATGAAAACATTCCGGAAGGGGGGTGCCAGGAACTGGACTGAAGTACTGATGCAGTGGAACAGGATCTAAACCACCCCCACCTGTCTGAAGATGTAGCTGGCCAGAGGCTCATCGAGATGAGGCTGACGGTCGATGAACTCGAAAAGGTCCAGTCCCTCACCATGTTTCTCCATCACCATTTGGAAGAAGTTCTCATTCTCATACACCTCCAGCACCTGAAGACAGCAATATACTGGTTTCTGTAATCAGTCAAGTTAGCCGCTCTCTCTCCCTCGTACCCAATATGCCATAACATGGGACCTCTAATGGACTTAGTGATACATTACGTTTATTTAGTTATGTCCATCTTTACCCTGGACGCCCAAGAACAGCATCCAGGTGAGCATGTCACGCTCCAAACTCTTCCAAAGCTTCTTCACCTACTCCTCTCCCTGTAGCCATACCCCTCACCTTCACAATGTTGTTGTGCTGGACCCGGGCTAGTATGGCGATCTCCTGGCTGACCCGGCCCATGTCGGGGTCGTCCACCCAGCAATCGCTCACGACCCGAGCCTTTTTGATGAACTTCACCACAACCTTACAGAAAACAGTCAAAACAGGAAGCTAATTAAAACTCAGATGGAGCACAAGGCCTGATATTACTCCTTGTTTCAATGAAACATATTTCACTGTGAATCTGTACATCAGCAAAAGTCGTTTTTTTTTTCCTGCTTCCCTGAGAAGACATCACCATTCCACGCCATAACCGATGGCGACCGCTAGCTACGCACCCACCTCCTTTCCGCTGGCCCTCCTGCATGCCTTCCACACGAACCCGAAGGCCCCCTTGCCCAGGGCGCAGATGGGGCTGTACTCCTCCCCAAATTTGCCATCACAGGCATGAGACTGCTCAAGATCCTGGGTAGAGCGCAGGGTCTCCCCCTGTGCTGTCTGCTGCACAGCCTACACAGACACATTTCGTTCTTAAACATCTAAGGAAATGGGGATTGGTTCGTAATGGGATTCGAACCCATAAACGTGACAGATTCCTAAACCATTGAGCATAATTCCCAGATATTAATTTAAACCAACAAGTATAATGCTTCTGTCCTGGATGAAACATCTTCAGAGGATAAATTTGAACCCACTGGATTAGGTGTGGTGAGGGGAGTGGGTCTCACCTCTCCAAGACTCCAGGCAGAAGCGTCCTGCAGCGAGGTGTCCTTGCTCTCTGTATCGCACGGCAGCTTCGCCACCGGCTCCTGCACGGGCTCCGTACGGTGCCTTCTGGCCAGCCATAGGCAGAAGAGCGGCTGGCCGCAGGGGAGCTGCACCCTGCGGATCGCCATCTGCACGTCTGAGGCAACGGCACAGGCGTGTCAGTGCTGCTGAGCCGCGTTTAACATCCCCGTCACGATACCCCATTTCCAGATATTCAGCAGGCATATGCAGGCCTAACAAGCGACAGATCCATTAAATGTCAGAAATAATATGACTTGGCTATGTCAATGGTTCCTAGCTCAAGAGAATGTAATCAAAAGGAAAGAGCTCATGGGAGTTCCAATTAACCAATCATCATTCTGCCCTCAGGACATGCTTATCTCTCTGAACCAATCAGATTGTAGAGGAGGTGGGTCCAAGCAACTATGGGAGGTAGGACCAACCAATCAGTTGTCTTAGTCCCTCCTCCTCTAGCTGCTTGGACCCACCTCCTCTACAGTTTGGTTGGATCATTTTTCGTTCTGCCCTCAGAACTCCCACAAACAAGAACAGCATCCAAGTCTCAACAATCTAGCCACCTAAGCACTAAGCACTATTTACTTAGTTATCTACATTTTGTTAAAGTATCTTCAGTAGCCAAAAATCTGAAGGAGAGCGACGCACCGAGCCTGGAGCCATCCCTGTGGTAGCAGTGACCCTCAAAGCAGCCCTCCACAATCCTGTCTGGGGGATCCACGTTCCACGGCGTATGTGGTCTTCGCTTTTGCTTTTTTGGGGTTGAGGTTGTTGGGGTACCAGTAACCATGAGTGGGGCCGGCATGCCCTCGTTTCTTATGCTGTTGCCAACGATCTGCGCCTTGGCGGCCTCATCAACACACGGCGCTTCTTGCTTTGAGCCGTTGATGCTACCCCCCACAATTCTGGGATTGGTGGTTTGTTCCACATGGCTCTCACCCTGCACGTCGGACTCCACCATGTATGGTGAGGGGGTGCGGAGCAGCTCGGCCGTGTCACAGGAAGCCCGCGGCAGGTCCGCGACCGGCAGCTCCAGGCTGCTGTTCAGGTCCAGGTCGGCGAGTGCTCGTGTCACCAGGTCTCCATTGGAATCCATTTCCAGGAAGCAGCTGCCGGAGTCCACCGGCAGGGCTGGCCTGCGATCTGGACGCATGTCCTCGGTCCGTGGACCGGAGCCACCCGCCCACTTCTCACAAAACCCAGAGGATGACCGACTTCCCAGAGAAATGACCTCGAAGCTGGAATTCTCACCGTCGTCTGTGTCACAGCAGTGGTGACCCAGCTCTTTGGCAGAGCCTGGCATGGCCTGGGGGCACCCAGCAGGGCCAGTGCCCCGATCTTGCTCTGGGGTGGACAAGCGGCTCACATTCTGGTTCTGCAGCTTCTCTGGGCCCAGGGTCTGCAGAAGGGCACTGGTATCATCAGAACCGTCACCTCCACTAAGTCTGGGACACACTAGGGCTGCCTCTTCCAAAAGTTCAGCAGTGGCTTCCTGTCTACAGAGGAACAACAAGGTCCAATCAAGCTTCAAGAGAAATGCATCATGGGGAATTTTAAGTTCTTTCATTTTATAATGGTTTCAGAGCAAAATCTATATGGCCAATTTCTTTTCTTTAGTTTTAATGGTAACACTTCACTTAATGAGCACAAACTTAGTCATAATCAGTTACTACTGAAGTACAAAACATAAATCATGAACAAATACAGTCTACTTGTGACAAAAGATGTCACAATTCATTAATCACGAACAAACATGAGATATTTCACTTGTGTTATTCTTTACTTGTTCCTTCTGTAGTTCACTGTTTACAGAATATAGTAAATATAGTAATGTTTCCCCTACCATTAGATTAGGGGGGCACCCCACCCCCCCAACGGCATCTCCCGCCTCCCCCTCGAAGGTCAAGTTAATTTTATTTTCTATATAGCGCCAGATCACAACAGAAGTCATTTAAGGTTACCTTTCCTATAGAACAGGTCTATACATTGTCCTTTTATTAAACAAACTAAATAGCCTCATATTATTTATCTTATTTACGCAACAGCTTGTCATTTCTGTCTCTACACGGTTGCGCGTTTACAATTCTCCTCTGCTTTGTATCGCGCACGGCGGAGTTCTGCCCCGATGTGCGCGCACGGACACGTGTGCGCACATACAGGTGAGCACACGCCCACCAGCGGACAGAGAGTGCGCGTCGGAAAATATGTTGCGTCAACCACCTGAAAAGCAGACAAAAATATCTGCATTTTAAATGCTCCCAGGGTGGTGAAAGCTGCACACTTTGTGGATAATTGTCATAAAAATAAACGTTGTGATGTTTAGTTCGGTTGTTGTTCTTTTATTGACTGCTGTCATTAAAAGAAACACATGAACACCATGAATCCTGTCTGTGTCTGTCTGCCCCCCCCAAAGCTGTAAACCTGGGGGAAACACTGTAGCAACTGCTTGAGAATAAAACATGCATCACGATTCGTTAATGATGAATTAACATGAGATCAGTATGTAACTAAGTGCTTAATTAATACATAAGTAATTGCATACTATCTTATTTGTGCCCCATCAAGTACAGTGTTACTGTTTTAACATGTGGGTCAGAAAAACACTCAAGCCTACCGCTCGCAGGGTGTAGATGCCACGGCGGGAGAGGAGATTGCAGATGGGATCCCGCCCTGGGACTCCAGTTGCTCATTAGCTCCAGTGAAGATCATCTCTCCAGCAGCCCCCTTCTGAACAATCACAGCGTCCCCAGCAAGCAAAGTGCTGGGGTCTGCAGGAAGAAGAGAGTCCCAAACTTGAACTCAAATCACCAGATCAGTAGGAGAGACACACTCACTTAACGGTAAACCATTGATTTATACATTTTAAAACCCATTGGAGGAAATGAGATGAGAGGTGGACGAAACTGACTGAAGGAAGTCAGTAATCGTGAGTCATGATACTTTAAACAGAAGAGACAGCTTACCTTCCTTCAGCTGTTAGGTACCAGTGGAATCCAGAGTATTGAGGAGGACTGGACAAACTATAGCAGGACTATGGTAAGGAGTGCCAAGAGGAGCAGTTTTTCCAGGCCTACCTTTTTCACCTGGTGGTTCTACTGATCCAGGACAGGAAGGCAGAGCCATGCTTCCGGAGGGAGGGTTACTGCTACCAGGGTATCTACAGGGGTCTTATTGAACATAGAGAGCCTGCTTAGCAGCCTGGATGTCCCACATGCATCCCAAGACGTCCATGCCCCGTAATTTCGGTTACCAGTGTGGGAGCCAGAGGGGCTGGAATAGCCGGTTTGAGCACGGAGGCCGGATCGGTCCTCGCTCCTACGTCTGCGGAGTAGGGTGTTGCTGGGGCTCCCCCCCGCGACGCACAGGCTCTCGTAGAAGCCGGGCATAAGGAAGGTGATGCTCTGTGGACACAGCATAAAGCAGGCCGCGGATCACACGCTCGCGCACGGCTCCACGCTCGCGCACGGCTCCACGCTCGCGCACGGCTCCACGCTCGCGCACGGCTCCACGCTCGCGCACGGCTCCACGCTCGCGCACGGCTCCGCCGCTGTACCTTGTCTTGCAGCTCGGCGCTGGCGTAGCCAAAGAGCATGAGGCCGAAGTTGTCGTTGATGCTGCGTATGGAGCCGTCGGGCCGCAGTGTTAGAAGCCCGCTGAGAGCACAGAAGACGTGGACCGTGCAGACGTACAGGGGCCTTGGATGCGGTGGGGGGAGCCAGCGACCCTCTGGCGAGAACGGAAACATAGACAGACTAACGGGAATGCACTGGTGGTATTTTTTTCTAAGCGATTTTGCAAAATGCTCACCGTCACGATCAGAAGCATCGGAGTGCCATACGCCCAACCCATCCTGGGGCCCCTCAATCGGCTCGACCACGACCTTATGATCAACCACAACTTGCAGCTTGGCGCACATTGGGAAAAGGGAGCCTGTCCTGCCCCTTCCGGTCACTTGCTGGACCCTCAGCATCTATGTAAGTGGGGGGATAGCAGAAACAGGCTAACACCACTCACTGTTAGTGCAAGTGAAAGGACTCTCATTAAATAAATCACATCAAAGTACTCAGTCATGTGTGTTTATGCCATTCTCTGGTGAGACGTAGACGGCAGAAACCTTTTGAAGAGGTGTCAGTGGCAAACAGTGAGATTTACAGATTATTATTCATAGTGTTTCTGACGGCACAAAAAGGGCGTCTTCAGAGAAGGCATTGCTACGGTTTAACCTCACCTTGGGTAGTATCTCACAGCTCGTCGGAACCAGCAGCGACGGAATCAGCTCGTGGACAGACAGTCCCACCATGTCACTGACATCCAGGTAACCATGGAGATGAGCAAAAGCCAGGTCACAGCCGAGGACCCTTCCCTAATTTGAGAACGCTCATTAAAACAAACCACACAGGCAGTCATCTCCGGGTAGCAGGAAAAGCTGTGAAATCAGAGAATCATTCCTTATGTGCCGTTCCTCATAACGGGTGGAAACTCACATTGGGTGCAAAGGTCACATGACCTTCTATTCTCTCCACACGTTCCAGCACGACCAGACTACGGTGTCCCTCTAGAGTCAACCTCCTGGCCCACACGGACACAGGAAACACCTTTCCGTTCTTGTTCATTGCATCAACCTGAAACATAAGCACAGAAGTTTAATTACCTTAGTGATCTGAATGTTTGGCTGATCTTTTCAGCCAAAATGACTCCAAGAGCTTCAGTCACCACTAGGGTTGCAAAGGGGTGGAAAATTTCTGGAAAAAAATTCATGGGAAGTTATGCTGGTGATTTTGGGAAATATTCCAAGTTGGAAACTTCCCATGGGAATTAATGGAAATATATGAGAATTAACGGGAAAATTCCCAGAATTTTACAACCCTAGTCAACACACATTAATTTCAAATACAAAATCTTAGTTAATTTGATTATGCAGTTACAGCAAATGTTAAATTTACTGCAGTTTGCCCTTAATCAAAACAGCAACCGGTTACATAACAACGAAATATTTGCTTTAAAATAAATCCCACCACTTTTCCAGATACAACAACGAGTGTCCCATTAATTTTCAGGTGCTCCTCCCCCAGTGCTTCTTCTAGGGACTGACTAGTCGTCTTCAGGAACCAGGAAAGCTTTGACCCAATCAGGTCATCGCTGCTGTACTCAAACAGCTTGCAAGCCTTTGCATTGGCGACCAATATCTGTAAAATGGTCACAAAAATTATTTAATTTGACTGTTCCAGAGGAGATAGATTTCATGTAAATGTGCACCAGAGACCTAAGACATATACCTCTGTGGTCTTGGTGTCCACAGTGAAGACCGCTTTGTTGGGATTGTGGAACGGAGGGGGCCCAGAAAGGACAAAGCCCCCACGATGTAATTGGTCCAGCATGGAACTCTCAGACCCATCACAGGAGCCGGAAAACAAGCCAGACTGGTTTCTCTCACCGGGGGTGTCTATCAACCGGACGTTTCGCAAAGGCACCCAGCTGTAGCTGTAGGAGTTCAAAGAGTCACCTAAAGAAACAAGTGGAGGAAGATGTAAACAAGTGGAAATACAAATCAGCAAAACAGAATGCAGAATCTCCTTCCAATGGCTTCACTCAAGAGGGAAGATCTGATTTCATAGGCATCAATCTATGAATACACAAAATGCCCATAAACCCACCCCTTCACAATGTAGGGGGAAAAACAAGCTTCATCGGTCCAAAGGGTTTGGAGTTTTCGGTAATCGGTGTTATGTACCATTCATTCACAAAAAAAACACACTGCAAGATATGAAGACTGTGCCATAGCCTTAATTTGGATTGTTTATTATTGTATGACGTTGACAATCCTAATGATCCTAATGATCAGAGATCATAGCAAAATGCAGCCTCTCTGACCTGACAGGGCGCTGTTGAAGCGCCAGTACCGCAGCCCGAAGGTCCCCCTCGCCGAAGGCCTCCGGGCGCAGGGGAAAGACCGGTTCAGCTCCAGCGAGTGGTCAGACTGCGGAGGCGAGCCGAGGCCCGAGTGCACGCAGCCGGCCGCTTGGGAGCTAGGGACAGCCATCTGCGATGTGAGCAGCCAAAAAGGAGGGGAGTTACTGGAGTAAAGGGGTAAAAAAGCGGGATACTAACCCAAAATAAATGTAATTGACTCATTTTCCTGGGCTACGAATTGTTGGGAGACAGCAGGGAAAACATTTAAAAAGAAAAGCTAAAGTTAACAAAATAATGCCGTACGCCCCTATCTTAGCCTTTTTGTGCCAATAACCATGTAGCCATTGTGCGAACAGGATTATTTCGATTATATTACGCTTACCTCACGTCGGTAAACAGCTGGGTTTTCCAGATTTTCTCAGGATACGTTCAGGAATTAAAAACCTAACAAGCGACACCGGGACGGAGTAAAGACCGCAGCCTCAAAAAAAAACGCATAAGGGGAGTCTGTACACGCCATTCACCGATGAAAAGTAGACAACACTTATATTACTCCACATACAGACAACTTTCAATGAACGGTTAGCCCTGATGCTAACATATGCCGAGACACTTTCAGCTTGCGCGGGAGCGTTTGAGCAGAGCGAGGTGTTGGAACTGACCAATGAAAGCACAGAGATTCCGAAATTGATGTGGATGAAAGCCAATGAAATCGTTGAGTGGCCGGTCTGCGTTTTGTTTAGGGATGGCGGTGGTTTCTATGGGAACGCCTTAGCAGTTACCTGTTGAACTATTTTAAAATGTACTTAAAGTCACTTGTGGATCTGGCTACATCATATAATATTATTCGGTTGGCAAAACAGTCATTTTTGTTGAAACATAATTATGTAGTTAGCGACAGCACAGGAGAACGGAAATGCATTTTCATCTTGAGGGCTGGATTTTGTGTTGCTTCACGCACATTGTAGTAGCATGTTGAAGTGTCATTGTGGGCAGCTGGTGTTAAAGAAACATCAAAAGCAGTTTCAGTATCTCCGTTTCCTGATGCGTTTAAAGCAAACGCCCCAGTGTTCATCAATCCATGCTCTATTTTGTAAACCACCGTTTCTGTCAAAACGTGCGTTTAGTTGTTAAGGACTTGGACTTAGAGAACTGGAACGCAATAAAACAGTGTTATTCGTAGAACACGCACGCGTCTGTATTCATATCTTTGTGGAGACCGTTCTTTCATTTCTATGAGCAAAACTCAAATCCCAACTGTTAAAACCTTAACCGCGACCCAGCCCTAAGCTTAATCATAATTAAGAAAACAAAATACAAGAGTTTTGTCTATTTTAGTTTTTTGATTGCAGTCACAGTTTTTTTTGAAAATGTTTTTTCTCTTGTGGGAACTGGATAATGGCCAAGGTAAAAACAACAGATTTAAAAAAAAAAAAAAAAAACAACTTTTTTTTTTATCACATTGTGAGATACATACCACACGCACGCACACGCACACGCACGCACAGGGTATTAGTTGCCCATTTGCAATGGAGAGCTTTGGGAGATGAGGCGGCACTCAATTTGTGATAAATAAAAACCAGAAAACACATTTCATTATACTTTTTATATAGAATATTTTTATTTAAAGTCAGTTTTGAGGTCACCTTTTGCCTCCATTGTTCCCCTATGAAAAAACAGGTTACTAAAGGAAAAAAAGGCTAGTTGATTCTGTTTGTAAACAGTGTAGTCAGCATTCTAGTGCAATTTTTGTTAGTGCACTCTGTTGTAAGTGCAACAGTGCTTAATACACAGTAGAAATCTGCAGGCAATGCATCAGTTGTCCAGCAACAACAGATAATGAATTCTGCTCAGAGCTGATCTCTAATCAATTTAGTAAATTCCTGTGATAATACAAATAAATAAATGTTCAGGCTTCAATGAATACGGTAATTTGATCTTGTGTAGTTTGAGGTAAAGTTCGCTTCTCTGTCCCTAGACTAATTCGTTGTTCCCCCCACCTGTCAACGACCAGGGTTATATGGGTGCAGCGCCTTGTATGGGCATCACCCTCCGGATGTGCGTGTACGACTTCCTCAGTGTGACGCTTCCGTGGTGGGACACTCCGCGGGGGAGAACGCACTCCTCCGTCAGCTTCTGCGCTCGCGGGTCCCAGCACAGCACTGTGGCGATCACTTCATTTCTCTCATCACGCCCCCCGGTGATGAAGAGCTTATTGTTGCAAGCAGCAAGCCCACAGCTGGCTCTCTCGTGATTGAATTGCGTCACGGTGCTCCAGGAGTCCTCCAGGGGGCAGTAGCAGTACAGCGCCTTCATAGCACCGCCTAATTGAAGGAAAGTTTGAAATAAAGACAGGGAAATCATTGTCATGGAAGTCATGCTTCATACTGCTTGAACACGCAATGATTTCTCACAAATGTACAACACTTTAGATAAAAGAAACTTCTAAATAAATTAAATGATGATACTGACCTGCTACGTAGATGCAATCTTTGAAGGTCACAGCATTTATGCATTTGGCTTCAATTGGCATCGGCGACTTAAATGTCCATTTTTTGGCAGAGGGGTCGAAACACTGTAACTTGTCTGTGGCCAACTTGCCGTTCGGGCCGCCCCCGATCACGTACAGCTTGTCATTGTGACTCGCCGTCGCGAAGGAGCTCACACTGAGCAAGAGGGGTTCCTCCTGTGACAAACGTACATGGGAAGAACTTGTGACGACAAGCGACGGGTGACAAGCTGGTTGGGAAATCATGAAACTGTGTTTTCAGATGGGTTGGATCCTGAAGACAGTGTTTCGTATTCAGAAGTTTTGACCGACTTTTCAGTTGCGTACAACTAAAATTAGTGCTAAGTGGTAAGATGTCATGACCCAGTTAAACCATACCTCTGTCCAGCTGTTGTGAAAGGGGTCGTAGGCCTCCATGCTGCTGTGCCTCTGAGCGCCATCAAACCCACCCAGCACATAGACCTTCCCCGCCAGAACAGCCATTTTGTGTCTCCAGCGCCCAATGTTCAGGTACTCGATCTGGATCCACTTGTTGAGGGCTGCGTTGTACTTCCATGCTTCATGTTGGGTCTCCTTCCCTCCTTTGGCATTGGTAGAAAGAAGCCAGATGAAAACATACTACTTACTGTGACTTTGAAATCTGAGCAGAGACAAAAACTACTTCAAAGTCAATGTACTTAGACCTCTGCATGGAATGCCAAATGGCGATTTGTGTGTTAAACTATACACTTAAAACTCTCCTTCCTTAAAAAGGAAGTGACCATCCCTACACATAACTGAATACCCACACTGCAGGGCTCCTCAAATCTAGCCTTCAATTCCAAACCCAGGCCTTGTTTTCAGTTCTCCCAGGTAGTTAGTTTAATGATTACAGATTCTGACTAGTCACAGAGGCTTCACACCTGGCTTATGGATAAAGGAAGGCCGGAAAATTAGCAGCGCTCGGCCCATGAGAATCGTGATTTGAACAGCCCTGCCACACTACAACAGGTTAGGCACAGACATGGCCTTAAGCAGAACTGTAAGTTGTGTATACTCCTCCCATCAGATACAGGGAATATGATATACTCACAATATTATATCTTGTTGTTGCTTTTGAGCTCACTGGAGTTTTACTTACACAAAAATGTTCTGATGGCAGAAGGAAAAATGATTGGTTCGGAGAAATAACCAATCAGATTACAGAGGAGGTGGGTCCAAGTAACTAGGGGAGGTGGGACCAACCAGTGAGATGTCTTGGTCCCGCCTCCTCTAGTTGCTTGGACCCATCTCCTTTACAATGTGATTGGTTATCTCTCTGAACAATCATTTTTATCTGCCCTCAGAACATTTTTGTGTAAGTAGAACTCCTATGAGCTGCTTTTGCTTCCATTGACCATTATCTTCTATTACATCTCATGGTTAAGTGTGGGAGAATGCATGGCTCACCTACCTGTAAGGTACACCTCATTCCTGAAGGTGATGCAGGCAAACTCCACCCACTTCCTGTTGTCCACCTCCACCTCCATCTCTGTGATGGGAAGCTTGGCCACCTCTAGGCGGCTCCTGCGCAAGGGGTCCAGGCAGGTCACCTCAGAGACAAACTTCTCATCCTTGGTGCAGCCCCCGATGATCATGAAGACCTCGGACTGGAACTCCCTCTCTCGTGGTTTGGTACGCTCCGAGACAATCTAGAGTCGGACGCGGTCATTCAGTTGCTTCACATGTGGAGAATGATCAAGCAATTCATTCCAGAAGGTCACACAAATATACATGTGGTCTGGGGCAGGATTGATGGTTTGGGGTCCCACACAAAAAGTGAATAGAGGCAAAAGATTGTATCTAGCTAGCTGGTATGCAGAAAAATAAGCTATGCGTTAATTTAATATTCAGTGTATTGACTAATTCTAACCAACAGGAGGCCCAACGCAAATGTGTGTTTTGAGGGGTGATAGACACCACTGTTGCATGTGCTTACATCATTCTCATTATTGTAGCTTTTAAATCATGCAGAATATGATGTCATTGTATGGAAACGTACAGTTCAGTACATTTACTCAGGGGCGCTGTAAAGGGGGGAGGAGTTAGGATTCCAGGGGCCCCTGAGTGACAGGGGCCCTAAAACATTTGATACCTAATTGGATTGGTCTGGTTTGGGGGCCCAATATCCCTAAGGCGACCATGCATATACTCATCTATGCGGCTAGACGTTGAGTATAAGCAGTCATGTAGGAGACGTCTTTATGTTAGGATGGGAGTTGTGTACTTTGGGTGTAAATGCAAGCTTACCTCGCTCCCTGATAAGTGGTACCTACGGGCCTCCTGGAGTAGGGGGAAAGCCTCAGGACACTTCTGTATTAGGGGGTCCCCTTCCACCTTCTCCACAAAGTACCAGGGGTCCACAAGGGGCAATCGCACATAGTGCAGGAGCCGGGCCAGTAGGGGCAGCCTCTCGGCCTCGCAGGCTCGTACCCAGAGCATGGCCGCCTCGTACGCCTGCTCCTCCTGGGTCACGTTCAGGTCGTCGCGCTGCAGCAGGTTTGCCAAAGCCTCCCCCGGGAGGTCCAGGAACTCCTCGTGTGACACCACGCAACCGAATGCCTGGGTGATGTAGTTCTGGACGTGGACCTTCAGGGGCGTGAGGGAGTGGGTGTCGGCCAGTTGAAGGACGCCCACACAGTTTTCGGGCAGGAGCGCGTTGGTCAGGAAGCTGGAGCAGGCCTCTACCATGCGCAGAAACTGCAGCCACAAGGAGGTGCAACTCAGCTTAACGTTGATAGATTTTCGATGCTCTAGATTGTTCTACGACCGTGAGCCTGTTTCACCAAGCAGGATTTCTTGCTTAGCCAGATAACTTGTCGGATTTAATAGTCTCGACTAAATTGACTTTATTTTTGTTCGCTTACATTTAGGCCAGACTACCGTAAATCTGACAAGTTATCCAGCTAAGTAAGAAATCTTGCTTCATGAAACAGGACTCTGGCCAACTTTGAGCCATATCTGGTTTAAGCTGGGACAACAGACAAGGTAAAATAAAACAAGTACAATTAAACATGTAGAAAAAGCTTTTGAGATGATTATAAGGGAGGGGCTTTAGGCTGTCCGCGTGTGTTCAGATTCTCCACCCGCACGCCCTCCCCAGCTGTACGAGTTAAAATGGGCAGGGGGTAGAGCGAAATCGTTCCGTGCATAAACAACAGCGGGCAAATTGTTTTCAGTTCCCCAATTAATGGTTTTAATGGTTTTAATGGCAACACGTGTCTCTGCTATAGCGCAACAGGAGACACCTGACTTATGTGGAAAAGATGATACATGATATTTGTAAAAAATATTGCAAGTTTTTTAAACAGAATTTTTAAAATGTCACTTTCTTGCTTTTCTGTATTCTAGTTTATGTACGTTTGTACTATAAATTCATAAACAGACACATTCCACAAAAATGGTAATGCTACGTAAATACACTGCGGTATTTTCTTTATATTCTTTCTGTCTGTTCAGTAAGACATAAAGTGACTCTGTAATTCCGGTACTGCTGACTCAGAAGGTCGATTAGAGAGTCGTGCCTTCCTCAACACAGTGGCGATGTCCACACAAAAGAAACATTCGTGTGGGACCTGGAAGAGGCTCGCGGCTTCCAGGATCTTCTGGACGTTCTGCTTGGTGATGAGCACTTTGCTGGTGTAGGTGTAGTCCAGCAGAACCGCCATGGTCTCTGCCTCCACACCTTTAATGTGGATTTGCTCCTCGCGTTTCTCTCGAAGATCATTACAGAACATGGCTCTGGAAATACAGGGTGCAAGACGAGTAAACAGACAAGAGGGTGAAGGGAAGAGTATGGAATTGGAAGGGACACTAATAATTTAAATGCAAAGTTCTTTTTTGGTGGGGGGGGGGCAATCGTGGTTCTAGACCATTTTTACTGGGGGGGCAGATGCATTTGACCTTAATGGCCTCCAAGTATTACTTACAATAGATTGCCAGCATTAAAAAGCAAATGGAAATTTTGAAAACCAATAAAGAATAATAGTAAATAATAATAATAATACATTTATTTCAGATCCAGGTAGCATATGTATTTAGGGGGGCCAGAACTACCCCTGGGGAGGACAAATGAAGCCAAATTAAATATTGGGGGTACATGCCCCCCCTTCCCCCTGATTCCTAGACCTCTGTAAACATATATAAGTTGAAATAATTCATACAGGAAGTTCTGATATTTTCAGACATACAATCCATGTTATTCTGTCAGGACTTGGTGCTGATTTAATAACATACAGTAACATCTGCTCATCCCAAAGTGGTGTTAATTAAAGGGGGAGGGGGGTTCTCAGCATTTCTTTCTTATTTGAGGCATTGACAGGACTCACCTGAAGTAGTGGCTTGCAGCAGCGAGGACCACCCGGTGACAGGGAAACTCCCGTCCCTCCACATGCAAGATCACGTCTGTGAGAGACTGTTCCACCCGTAGGCTCTCCAGCCCGCTCTGGAGCTGGGTGGAGAGGCCCGAGTCGTCAAACTGAGCACGACTCTCGTGCCCTTCCTCCAGCTCGGAGGTCTCCAGGAGGCTTGTCGCCCCGACGGGCTGGTCTGTGTCTGATGCCTGTTGCCGGAGAGGATCTGTGTTCTTTGCCCCTGAGTCGCCCATCTCAGCTCCAACCCGAGCCAGAGGTGCGGTGAAACCTGCAGCGGTGAGCCCAGGGACGGGCACCGCAGAGTGTGGCCTGACAGCAGAGTCGCTTACAGTGTCTGCACATTGACGCAGCTGCTCCTCTCCTGCTCAGCGCGGCCGCAAAGCATCAGCTCGGCAGCAGTGAAGTTGGGTGACTTCCTGAACATGTGACTTGTTTATCACTTTTGGGTACGTGCAAAAAAGAAAAAAAAAAAAAAAGAAAAAAGAAAAGGAAACTCTGAATTTTCACAACAACCACTGCCAGGGCTCACCGGCTCTCAGGCAACTGAGGACCTCAAAAACTAGCGGCCCGAAGCTAAACAAAAAACAGCAGAGACTCACACTTGCATCGAGAGAGCGCTGACATACACGACGATCTAAAAACAAAAATGTAACAAAAGATTCTCAAAAGAGCAACAAAACCATTCTTTTAAACCATGTGATTAACAAGCTCAGCTGGGTGACACCTGTACCAGACGTCTTACTCTTTCAGAAGGCTTCGATGTTAGTAGAGCAGGGGCGGGCTATCTTCTCCGGGGGGGGCCCCTAAGTGGGCCGTCTATTTTTTGGAGCCGAAAGAGAAACGAGGAACATCAATAATTTTCTAATGAAATGGTGGGGGATGCCGTAGGGAAAACTTACCAATCAGAGTGGGTGCAGGGTTACTTTTGGTAAAAACTTCAGATCGGAGGGGGGGGGGAATGAAGCCGGCAGATTGATGGCCCAATTTAAGAAGTCTAATCATTCCCTCTTTTGCTGTGACCCTAGACTTTAGCTTGGGATAGCTAATGCCTTCCTCTACCCTAGGATTCAAGGGCTTCATTTGTCACATGCAAGGTACACAGTCCAACTCTAACCTGCAGTGAAACACGAGTCAGTCAGCTCCGCCATAGTAGGAAAACTTAGGGAGGTTAGGGTTAGTTTTTTTGCATACATCCGTTTATTTATCCCATTATTTTATAACTTCTGTCTTCATGGGCTCCCCAGTATTTGCAGGCTCCATACGGCTGCCTACATTTGCCTTATTGTAAGTCTGTCCCTGTAGTAGAGATACAGACAAATGAATTGACCACCAATCAGTGACTTTTGATTTGCATCTGTCTTCATGAGGTCACAAGGTCAAGGAAAGACCTTCTGAAGACCATCAGTTTCCTTACAGACCGCCCGCTTGATGCATCACATCCAGACACTAGAGCTTCATTACATTGTAGTTATCAGAATCAGAATCAGAATCGGGTTTATTGCCAAGTACGTTCACACATACAAGGAATTTGCTTTGGTGGTTGGTGCCAGAGATGAGGAGGTTGATATATAAGCATATAAATATATAAATATAAATAAAAATGTACATGGGGTATGTTCAGGGTGGAATATATACATATGTAACATACTTGTCTTAGGATGGGGAAATGGGATTTGAGTGAGTGTTCCTGGCCTTATTTGAAAGTTTGACCAAAAAAATGGTAATTTCTTAATCAACAGAAGAGATGTTGTGAAAGGGCACATCCGGTTTAGATGGGAAAGTTGGGTGAATTGGCCAGATGTTGTTTATAGAACAACATGCAAAACACACAAGCTACGGGACCGTGACGACAGGTGACTGCCAGCGGTATACTATTTCTCACATTTCGTTTTTTTTTTTTTTTTTTGAGAAAGCAGGGTCTGCCGGCCCTCAACGCAATTAAGGGCCTTACTCAACAGTGAGATTGCTCAGACGACCCTGGGATTTCAACCAGCGACCTACCAATCAGAGACACAGCATTCTATTGTGCTGAGCCCTACACCACCCCTTCACCAGACCCCCTTATGACACTAGTCATTCGTCCACGCAGATTTTTACAATTTGCCACATTTATTTAATATAAATGATTCAAATAATTGACTGGACAATTAGCAATATAAAGCAAATCAATCACTTAAGTTCCAAGAATCTGTAACAAATGGATTATAATGACTTTGCCAATGCTGCCAATCATTTATTCATTGGGTTGTGCTTGATCATTGTTCCATTTGTGCAGTGCATTAAGTAACTAGTGATTCATAGTAGTGAAAATGTGTGACCCCTGCCTTGCACCCATAGGCTCCGGGGTAGGCTCCAACCCCCGTAAGCCTGAATAGGACAAGTGGTTGCAGAAAATAGAAATGGGTGGAATTTGTCTTGTTTTCCATGCAGAACCCCACTAGACTACTACTAAAACCACCAAATCAGCAATTTTATGTGACCATTCAGCGGTTTCTCCACTCATTAATGATTTACATTTCTATTACATAATATTTATATTGCATTAACCTTAACCAATCACTTTTACTCTCATAAAGTTTTCATCATCATCATCATCTACGAAGGGGCAAAAATTCATAGCAATGATGTCGGCAGCCCTGGTTACAACCGTGAACTGTGTGTGTTTTTCTATAATTCGAATTTCTATGATTTCTATGACTGGCAGTGCAAGCTGCCAGTACCGGTGCTGGATGACTGTGGCCAGAATTAAATAAGCCGTTACTGAGAACTTTTTAAACACTAGATGGCACTGTTGCTCAATGATGTCAATTCCAATGCTACACCCATTGACGCCATTTCCATGGTTCATTAAGGGCAGCAGTGAGTTAATAGCTTACATATGATAGGAAATGAAGAAGGAGAACGGAGGAACCATTCATCACCTTGGAGAGGTTTTTATTCTGACTTTGCTAGAAAAAAAAGCTGCTCTGAGGGTCACACCTGATCCAACTCACACCGCGTACGCACAAAAATAGACCGATAGAAAAATGAGCGGCAAAAATCTTACTCAAAATTGTGAGAATTGTAAAAATTTATTATACATAATCATTTTAGCAAAATGAGGGCTCCAACGTCTCAGGTTTAATCTTAAATTAGTGTGGGGGGGGAGAATTACTTTTCTTCAGCTCAAATTCAAAAGATTGTTCTTTGATTTTGTGGGCATGTAGTTTTACTAGCAAAATGAAAAACAGGAAAATTAAACATATTACAAATTAAGACAACCGTTTCACATATTTAACCTTGTAATACTCCTTGTTAGTTTATACCTATACATATAAAAACAGCAAAATCAGTTTGAGTTTCTTTGTTCTCCAAGTACATAATATACAGAAGCTTAAATTTTAGTCTCCTATTTCCCATGTTATTAAAAGAAGTCATTGTACACAGTTTTCTGCCCTTTTTTCTTAAATAAAAGTAAAAACAAAATGGCACGAGTGAAAGGAGAGCATTGTTCGGAGATGACTTGAGTTTCAAGTATTATGATACCAACGTGGAAGAAAAAAAAAATCTGGACACAGATTTTCTGGGGTGATGAGGCGAAATATGAGCTGTACCCATAGTCATTAACATAATCGGGGATTATTAGGACAACAGGGCTGGCCGAATAAAGGCACCCCTGCTTTGCGGGGTCAAAAGGAGACAACCCACATGCACACTGCCCCCAATGGACACTGTGTGGAATTACAGGCAGTACTGAGGCCAGATGGATACAGGGGGGGGAAACCAAGTTCAAAGGGGGGGAACCCAGAAAGGATTTGGGGGGGGGGGGCTAGCGGTTGCTCTTCATGGCTTCCTTGGCTGCGAGGATGAGGGGCGTCAGGCTGGAGAGAGGCTTGGCTACCTTCAGAAACTGGTGCTGTGAGGGAGATGATCGGGGATTATGTCAACAGGCATCAAGAACAAGTTCATTAGCTTCATATGGTTTAATCCCTGATACATTCTACAATGTGAAAGATTTGCCATTAGTGCCGTTTCCCGCCTTTTTGAAATCAACTTGAAATCGTACGTTGCACTTCTGGTCACTCAATAGTCTTATTAGGTTCTTGCTGTGTTGCAAGTTAAAGTGTAGCTCCTACTACTTACACGTCTACCTGGGCATCCATTGGAAGCTCAGCCTAGCTGTACCAATGCCTAGCTGATGCCATGACAGCACGTACGTTCGCAATGCAGAATCTGCTTCACTTGTACGCTGCACTGGACAAAGGCGTCTGCTAAATGTGTAAATGTAAGGTATAGAGGTGTAGAATGTGCACTGACAAAAGGTACCGGACGATTTTTAATAAATGTTGGTAAGATCTGCACATAAGATGAACCACACAGAAACGTAAACACGGTCATAATGGGAGCAAGAACCCATCAGCTTCCGGTTTCAGGACTCACCTGCAGCAGCTCCTTGCCCCCGCCTCTCTTCTCCACGTCCATCTCGAGACAGCGGTTCAGAAAGTCCCGGAATATTGGGGAGAGTTTCTCTGGGTTCTGAAGCTCTGGGGTGCCGTTAGTGGCTATCAGGTACAGGGCCTGGGCAGGGGGGGAAGAGAGAATAAAATAAAATGATCCAAAACCCTCAGGCTGCATTTTTATGATCTTAGCAGTGATGAATTCCCAGCGTGATGAACTTTTGGCCGATGATGCTGATGGTCTCTTGTTAGACATCTAACTGATAGGATCTGTACCGACCCAGCCAAAGTGCTACACCAAGCCAAAGCATTCCAGAACTTGGAGAAAGCAAGAGTGGAGACCCGGATGTCGCTCACCCTTAATGGGTTCTCGTTAAGGTATGGGGGCTCGCCTTCCACCATCTCGATGGCCATGATGCCCAGGGACCAGATGTCCACCTTGGGTCCGTAAGCCTTCCGAGTCACGACTTCCGGGGCCATCCAATAGGGCGTGCCCACCATGGTGCTGCGCTTGCTCTGCTCCGGCGTGATCTGGGCGCAGAAGCCGAAATCGGCTGTGAATGAGAGTAAGGAGCAAAGTTAAGGCCAGTTATTACCAAACAAATATAAAGAAGACTGTAGATGTGGTCACTGTTATGGGGGAAACCCTGAAATCACCCCGATAAAGGTGAGGGAGCCCAACTCACTGAGCTTTACAGAGCCGTCCATGCCGAGCAGCACGTTGTCGCTTTTGATGTCTCGATGGATAACTTGGTTGGCATGTAGGAACTCCAGGGCTTGTAAACACTACAGACAAAAGGAGAGACTTCAGTAAAAGGCCAAACAAGGATACGAAACCAAACAATGGTGACAAAGATGATTCATCGATATTTCTCACCACTGACCACCATCATTATATCCCTGATCGGGTCTTACCTCCCGGCAGACGGCAGCGATCTGAGCCTCGTCCATGCAAGTCTCCGTCACCACATCCGTCAGGGAGCCACCGGCCAAATACTCCATCACCACAAAGAGCTCCTCGCCCACCAAGAAGCTGTTGGCGCAGAGTTACGAGGTCAGCAATAAGGCGTAACCCAAAGCCAGAAGCACACATGCCTGACAAAAGACCTCACCTGTCCAAAAAGTTTACAATGTTGGGCTGCTTCAATTCTTTCATCACAAGGATCTCGTTGATGATCAGCTCCTTCTTGGGCTGTTTCTGCAGGTTGATCTGTTTAATAGCAACCTGGAAAGCAATGTCACCACACACCCTTAGTTCAACGACATCTCCAAAGGGTCAAAATCAAGAGCCAGTCAACTGTCCTATAGTGTTTCTACAGCAGGAACAATCTTGAGGGAGCTCACCTCCTGTCCAGTGGCGACGTCGATGGCTGTAAACACAGTACCGGAAGCCCTGGAGGGATGAAGAAGAGGCTTTGCATGGTCATTTTTATTTACATCAAATCATTACAGTCAAATGTTGGGTACCAACACAATACTAGCACTGCAACCAAAAGCAACCCATAGGAGGGTACTGGAGTACCAGGAACATGTATAACCACTAAAAGATGAGGGATGAGGGAAGCTCTCACCCTTGTCCAATTTTCTCGTAACGTGTATACTTTTTCTTAGGATCTCCAATACTGACAATGGTTCCTAGAAGAGACAGGGATATTAGTAAGAATTAGTTGTGATTATTCATCTTCCTCTATAGTGCAAAAGGAGGGGAGAAGCTGAGGAGAGGGCCATACTCAGCTTCTCCATGATCTCCTCATCCGTCATCTTGCCCTTCTTCTTCTGCTTATCCGCGGCCTTGGAGGCAGCCTCCCCTTCTGGACTGGTAGCTGGCGCGGGGATAGGGTTGATGACAGAGCGGGTGTACACCTGCAGATGAAGGGACGGCGACAAGCCAACTCATCACTGTCACCGATTCACACTTCCTCAATCTCTTGCCGTAGTGAATCCTTCTGGTCCTCTAATCTTCTAATGATTTTACTGTACAGGAAGCTGCCTCATATTTCATATTTCTATTTAAGACCACATACCAGTTTAATGCATTGTTGACTCTACCCACTAAGAAAAAGACAACAAGCTTATCAGTTACTTTATTTAACTCTAACCAGTTCCCCTAGGATCCATGACTGCAGCCTGGTTCATTGGGGGGGG